GTTGTTCTGGTTGGCAATCTTCAGGTCCGATGATCGCACGATCGTCGAGTAGACCTGGATCACTTGTCGATTTCGCGTGATATCAATCACGTTCGATCCACTGAACGAAGCAGGTAGAATGACCGTTCGTCCATCGAAGCCGAGGATCTCACGAATGTCAGGTGCATCTGTGAAATCAATGGTGTGTGGGGACTGAATCCAGATACAACCGAACGACGAGGCGTTAGTAGATATGGAGAATGTGGTATCGGTCATGGTATTGAGCAAGGCAATGATCTCACTGATCGTGTAATAACCAGCAGGGATCGTTACCTTCTCGTTATTCGAATTCGTGACAATGATCGTCGTGTCCACATTGTTGAACATGACTTGGTTTGGTCGAAACAGGAGGGTCAAGGAAGTAATGTAAGGATCCTGATACTTGTACGGATTAATCCAGGTGAACGTACCGTTGGTGGGTAAGCCTTGATTAAGCATGGAGTAGTGCATGGTGTTTCTCTCTTTACGATAATATAAAGGGCAGACAATTACCACATTGGCAGAAAATGGTCGAAAAGGTTTTCGCGCCTTATGCGCCATGGTACTCGAGGTAGGCAATGGGCAGCAATGGTCGAAAAGGCAGCCAGGTAGGAAATGGTAGAAAGATGGGTTCGCGCTTTTTGCGTCGTGGTCTCCGAGGTAGCCAGGTAGTAAATGGCAGAAAATGGTCGAAAAAGGAGGCCAGGTAGAAAAAAAAAGGCCAAGAATAGAAATGGCAGAAAAAGGGCCGAAAATGGGTTCGCGTTTTTGCGTCATTTACTAACTAGTCATAGTCCTTTGAAGTGTATTTGAATGGTGAAATACAGCTATCGATAAACTTGCTGTGAGGGAATAGGGAGTAGATCACCCAAATTGCTAGGAAATCGAGAAATGGTATTTGTGCGAGTTCCTCGAACATACTTTAAAGGGAGGAAGAAGTCTGAATAGAATTCACAAAAAAGAAAATGCTATGAGCTGCAGCTATTTAGGTATTGTGGACAACACTGCTTCGTCTTCTATCACCTTTACATTAAGCAAAGCTATAACAGAGTGCAAAAAAATAACATAAAAGTTGTAGAAGTTCGAAAAGAATAAGCACTTTCGGGGGTATTTTTGGTTTATTCAATAAATAACTGGTTACCTTAGTTGTCGACAAATGTCATACACCTCAAGCACACTAAGCACTTCAAGTGAAATGGAACTGTTAGATATGTTAATGCAACATACAATCCAGGAAAGAAGAAGTCTCTGTTGGGAATATAACTTTTCATTTATGTTTCCTGTTGTCTCCATGACCGAAAGCGATGGGATGTATATTATGCATGTTGGTTCTCCACATGAGGGATATTCCATCAAAACCTATTTAATGAATAATAAGATGCATGGAAAATCCTATTTATACTCGAATGAATCCCAGTTAGTGGCAGAACTGTATTTCGAAGAAGGTGAAGCGCAGGGTCCTTGTACACTCTATGACACTGATGGTATACTATTTTTTGAAGGATTCTTTAAAAACGGATTTCGGTCAGGGAAAGGAAAGGAATATGATTGGGAAGGGAATGTGATTTTTGAAGGGTACTTTGGTTTAGGAAAACGATTATATATTAATCCATTGCAAGAAATGAGCGGATTTTGGAAAGAATATGACGAGAATGGTAAATTGTTGAATATAAGCAAAAGAAATGAAGAAACTGGTGAAAAGGAAGGAATTTGCTATTATTATGACGATAATGGAAACATAAGTCATATTGTTGAAGTTAAAGAAGGGGAAGAGATAGAATACAACGGTTATTGTAAAGTGTATGACGAACCTCATAAGGTATGGTATGAAGGAATTGTTGAAAACGGCATTTGTCGTGGAGAAGGAAAAGAACTTGATGCTACTGGGACTTCTGTAATATATCAGGGATCTAGGATAGAAGGACAACGTCAAGAAAGTAGTGCGTCTGATCAAAGTGGAGTAATGGATTATGAAGGAGAATGGATTGGTGACGACGAGAAAAAAGAGAAAAAAACTATTAATTGGTGGGCGGTCGTTCTTTGCATTGTTTTGATTGTGGTTTTGATTGTGGTTTCCTATGTTCTCCAGGAGGGGCTGGGTATTTTCGTTACTCTACTACTATTACATGTTATGCTATTATATATGAAATTTTGGTTTGGCAAAATTCGGCGTAGACTCGATTATCTAATGGCAGACCTTTTGCATAGGCCAAAACTAGTATTCGGAGACAAGTGCTTTTGTTGGACTAAGGAATTTTATCCACCATTTCATGCAGAATTAATCGTAATTGGTCACGATAGTTTTAAAAAAGTGCAAACATTCGTAATCAACGAATTGAACCAATTGGGAAACTTGTTTATCTGCGAAAATTCCTTTACTGAAAAAAAGAAAGATTTAGGATATGATGAATCGAAATCATTCCACATATTGAATTGTGAATCATTACATTACATTCAAATTGGTGAATATAGTTTTAGTGATTTTGGAGGAGACTTTGAATTGAAGAATCTACCGCAATTGAGGTCCATTCAAATAGGTACAATTGGAAAAAAATCGTACAATTTTTGTTTTAGTTCATTTGTGATTCGAGGTATTGATATTATATTGAATATATGAAAAATTAGACCTACCAAATCTACAATACATTTTTTTAGGTGATTGGGCATTCCATGTATCCTTATCAACAATAATCGAAAGTATTGAGTGAATTTGAATGTAATGATTGATGTAGATCTTCCATCATTACAATCCATTCAACTCGGTTATGCTGCACTTTATGAAAGTGAAGAAAATTCATGTTTTTTAGTAATGCGAAGTATCAATGAAATGTTTAGTAATAATTGAATGTAGATCTACCAAATCTAACAACAATAGTTTCCATAGAATCTAGTTTCTGTTCTCCTAAAACAGTGGTATTGGAAAGTATTTCAAAATAGTGAATAATGATAGTATTTAGATATTCCAAATCTACAATATGTCAGGCTACCTAACTCATTCCAGGAAATTCGATCGAAACAAATTTCAAGTATTGTTTGATTGATTTGATTTGATTCATAGATGTTTCTTCGATTCTCGCTGATCTTGTCAAAATCAAGACTTAATTACAACATTGGATTTACACACGTCATTCTATTGTAATGATTATTCAATGTTTACTTTGCTGTTTCAAACCCCTTACCATCATTCTCTGGTCATTGACTTAGGATTCAAATATCGATTGACTTTTTACTATCATCACAACCCAGATTGGTATGGCTAGCATGTCTCAAATCTTTGTGTGAACAATATTAAGAATGATATATAATGACTTATTAATAAATAATAATAATACAAACCTAGACAATCGAGTATTGTTTAGTATTCAATGAAAAAATGCGCTACAGCTGACAACTCTTTATATTTTGAACGACTTAATAGAGATTATCTGTAAGATGAACTGGATTGTACTCGATATTATAATGGTTTCAATAATAGTTTAGCTGTAATAAGTGAGGGAGGGAGGATCATAAGACATAGCTTTTTAAGAATATATTTGTGTTCTTGAATGAAAGAACCTGATTCTTATCACTAAAATAGGTTTATTAACATTAGAATAATCAACAAGTGAAAACCTAAATTGAAGGTATAATATTTCCATTGATACTCTTTCAAAAAGAGCATAATATGAGTACAATTGGATGAAGTAATACAATCCAAATCACTGTTACACTTATGTTAGTAAGTGTTAGTCAACTTTCTTAAAGTACAATTTCACCGTAACTCTTTCCATAATTCTTGTTTATTCTGTTTTCAGCTCGTCACGTATATCAATTTACTCTCCTAAGGGTGAAAGAACATAGTATTTGTTGTTTCGCATCGGACCTCTTTGAAATACACACAAACATATCAATTTTTGTATCTATCATTGATGTAACCACAACTATACCTTCATTGCCTTTGGTCAATCCTCGTTTCTTCTACGCCAGACATTTTTTGATTGCTACTCTCTTCATTGAATAGATGTCATTTTCGTAGTTTTCCCTTCACCGAAGCGGGTAAGCCAGAGCCACATTCCGGTGCTGCTATTCATTCTCCGTATTATCTCTGAAAGTGTATGCTGATCAAAGGATTGTCCTATTTTATTAAGCATTCATAATTGTTTGTGTTTCCGAAAAACACACGTATTATCTTTAATGCATCGCAATATCTATTGAAATCTGATGATCAATCTGCCAGTTTTATAACACATTGTTTTCACACTCCTTTCTTGCTCAATCTCCGCTTTCTACAATCTATAATCTCTTTCTTATGTTGCTATTTCCATGCTGCAAAAATCCACGAACCTTCTGGATTCATCCCATACTGATTTATTCCATATATATATATATATTCCTCCAGACTGCGTACCTTCATTACAAATATACTGATTTTCCTACGATCTGATGCTACTATCAATTCTAAAACTATTGATACCTATTCAGAGTTGGCCTATCTATCCCATACCGTTTTCTCACTCATTTTCAAATCCTTTATTCACTCACTACTTGAAGAACCCCACCAATACCCTAAATACCTACCATCCCTTCCCAAACAAACAGAAAATCCAAACGCCTTCATCCGTCTATTCCTACTCATCCTAATAAATACTCTAGTTCCACGAGCATCTTTCCTGTATACAACTTACCTCCATAAGCATCAACTTGTCTCTATCTCCCAATTCATTGCATTACCATCCATTTTTAAAACCCCATTTCAACCAATCTTACGAATTCCCATCTTTCGTCCAATTCTCAGATCCCACCTCAATCCTGCATTCTAGCCTTCTCCACCTCCTATCCTTACCAATTCCCTCTTCATTCACTCCACCCCTTCCATCTCTCCCATCCAATATCATTCCCACACACTCTAATTCCCACCCTCTTCTTCCCAAAACGTTTCTCACACAAATTCTCTCTTCAACCTTCCGCAATGATTTCTTCTCTATCTCTTCCTTTCTATTAGAATGGATGAAGATCCTAAAGTAAAGGAGGCTGAAGAATATAATGAAGCAGGAAATTGTGCTTTCAAGGACAAAGAGTATGAAAAAGCAATTCGCTTCTATGATTATGTACTATCGCTATACTCATCTTCACGATTCAGGCCATCGAACTATTCCCCAAAGAACCTCGCTATTATTCAAATCGTTCAGCTGCCTATCTCGGTGCTGGAGATCGGTCCAGAGCTCTAGCTGATGCCGAGAAAACGGTCGATTTAAGTCCAACGTGGGCAAAAGGGTACTCCCGTAAAGCTTCTGTCTTTTTGCGTTTAAAGAAATACAAAGACTGCATCGAAACATGCAAAATTGGTAAATAGCACGCCCTCTCACTCTCACTCAAAGCTCTGTCCCTGGAGCCAACCAATGAGGCAGTCATACACATTTTAGAAGTTGTGGACAAGCTAACATCCGCAGACGTACCTTCTCTTCTCCCAACCTCCCTCTCTAGAAAAGCCAGGACTTCTCAGCCCTCGAACAGGCGGAAGCCATGTCGGACGACGATTCCGCGATCGAAAGTGGTCTCAGCCGCCTGCGCTCCATCCGCCAAGACAAGAAGCTGGAAGAGTTCTACTCCTCGATCAACAAGGACTTCAAGCCAGTGATCGACACGCAGAAAAACCGAAGCGTCTCGGACGACGGGATCATCCACATGACCGCCATCCAGCACGTGGAGCGTCTCTCCGGCAAAAACGCGTTCGTACTGCTCGCTCTTCCCGCTCGATCCTAGTGGAAAAACCTCAACCCGTACCGCGTGCTGATGCTCCCCGAAACGGCGTCGGACGAGGACATCCGCCAGCGCTATCTCAAGTTCTCCGCGATGCTGCACCCCGATAAATGCAGCCATCCCGGCGCGCGCGAGGCGTACGAAGCGGTCGTCGGCGCGTACACCAAGCTGAAAGTGAGGATTGGCGAGGCGAGCGAGGCGTAGGACCCGAAGCAGAAGGAAGACTGCGTGAAGCTGATCAAGGGCGCGACGAAGAGCGTGATCAAGAACCACCAGCGATTGATCAGCAAGGGAATGAATCCGGACGCGCTGCCTAATGTAATGGAAGCGCAGCGAGTGAATTGTAGGAGGAAGACGCGATCGAGGAGGAGATCATGCGGGTGTTCGCGCAGAACGAGCAGCGGCGAAGGAAGATGGAGCAGTACTATCAGCTGTACGAGCGGAGAGACAAAGAACGCGTGGGGAAACGGGGAAACTGTGAGTGAGATTTAGCTCGAAGAGAAGCGACAGAAGACGCTGCAGGATATTAAGGAGCATAGGGAATGGATGAACGGAATGGAGGAGCGCGTGAACACGTGGAGGCAGCACCAGGAGAAGATGAAACGACGTAAACCGGACATTAATATGGATATGTTGACCGGAGAGACCGATGCGGATAAACGGAAGAAAAAGAATGAGAGAGACGCGGCCATTGCGTTAGGAGAGGAATATAAGCTTAATTGGAGATGCTCTGTTTGTTTTTATAATGTATTTTGAAGTGTGGTTGGCTGTCGTGGTAGGGATTTTGCCAGTGCTCCTACTGCTTTCGCGACTGTTCAAGCAACAAAAAAAGGAATTCTCTGTTGTCTGGGTGATCGGTGCAAGTTCTGGTATAGGAAAAGGTAATTCGCAGTGCAAATCTACATGAAAGAATAGAACTCGCGATCGAATTTGCGTCGCAGGGAAAGAATGTGATTTTAAGTTCGCGTAGTTTCCAGAAACTGGAAGCTGTACGTGATGAATTGGTAGCCAAATCAGGAAGAGACGTGTCTTGCTTCCCCGTTCTGCCTGTGGATATCGAAAAAGACGAATCATTTAAAAATGTCGTTTCTGTTGTGCTTCACAAACTCAGTCATCTCTAGGATGCGCTGCAACTCTTCGGATTTATCGACATTGTGGTAGTCAGTAGCGGACTTGGAATCCGTGCTTTCAACGATGAAGTCACTCCCGAAATCGAGAAGAAAATGATGCAAACGAACTTTCTCGGTCCCATCTTGCTTGTCAAGGAAGTCCTCCCTTCGATGCGGTCTCGGCACTCCGGATCCATCGTTTTCATCAGCAGTGTCCAGGGATTCCTCTCCGTCCCAGCACGATCGAGCTATGCAGCCGCCAAGCACGCTCTTCAAGGTTACTGCGAGAGCCTTCGTGCGGAGGAGAGCGAAAACGGAATCAACGTTCTGGTGGTCTCCCCTGCCTATGTGAAGACCAATCACAGCATGAACTCGATCCGCGGAGATGGCTCCTTGTACAATAAAATGGATAGCACGACGAGCAAAGGAATGGACCCAAGAGTACTGGCAAAGAAGATTTGTCGTTCCATCAGTAGGAGGGAAGGAATATTGATTGTCGCTCCACTTTATATGAAGTTGGTAATTGTGCTGCAATACATTTTCCCTTCGATCGTTGCGAAAATGATGATACGGAAGGCTCGGAAAGCTCGTAGTGGTTGATTTCTTGCTCGATTGTTTTCTTGTGAATAAGCACGATTTAGAGGAGGCTCCGAACGTCGTTTTGCGAAGTTGTCATAGATTTCTTAATGAGCGAGCCAGGAACGAAGCGCAAGGTGCCTATTAAGACAGATTGTCAGTACCTTATCCGCGCTAAACTCTATGGGGTGATAGCCCTGAATTCGCTTGAAGGTATGATGCGTGAGTTGGATGCGCTCATTCCTGTGGACATCGAAAAAGGTTTAAATGTTAGGTGGATTCTGATTGCTAGACAACGTAGATGTATTTGCCGACGAATTACGGCGCTACCAGGGAGGAGTGCTGCATCCCACAAGTCATGGAGACTACTTGGATCGTGCAATGAGCAGTTTATCTAGAGAAATCGAAGTTCAAGTGCCTGTTGAGCTAAGTAACAGCAACACCGTCAAAGTCATAATGTTGCATCCCTTTAACTCCCTAGGCTTTCGTAACAAATATAATTCAGAGTTCTTCGGGAGAAGAACGCCATCAGTACATCGACCTTTTACAACAGCCAATAGAGATGATTACGAAATCACACCGCTTCGATCTGCTTGTGAACCAAGTTTGCATCTTCTTTTACAAGAAGCCCTCGGCCAGCTTGTCGGAAGACACTGTGAACTTTATTCGCCGCTCAATCCACGAGCTTTTCCGCTCAAAATCGAAAGAGCAGCTGCACACTCAGCTAGTCTCGTCGCAATCCATCTCGGCGCGCAATATCGATAATATCATCCCTCCCTACGAATACATTGATAATGGGCAGTTCATTAATGCGTCGCTGGGGGAGAACGAGCGTCTGATGACTAATGTTTGTGTGGTGTGTGGGTCTAATCAGCAGGATATGCTGCAGGGTTTAAGACAGACGACAGACAAGGACATTGAGATCATGGGCCAGGCGGGATCGATGAAGCATACAGATAATATTACAATTTCGATTGTTTGTTGAAAACGGTTATTTTGGCATTTTGGCGGACATGAGGATTGGTGCCCAATTTGCTGGTTTCTTTCCAAATTCTCATCAGCTTTTGATTGAAATCATGTCTGCTGTAGGGAGTCGTTGTGGTTATGGGGGTGGATGGTGTGGTTTGCGAATTGGGGGTGGAAAGACTAATGGTGGTGTAGACCCAGAAGAAGATTGAATTCACCATTGATTGCAGTGCTCCTCTGAATGACAAGGTCATGGATCTGGCCTCCTTCGTATTTTTTCGACTCGTTGGCTCATTCGCAGGAAAAGTTCATGAACGAGCACATCAAGGTCAACAACAAGACCAACAACCTCGGAGACGTCGTTGCTGTGTCCACCACCGATAACAAGCTCTGTGTCACTGTGTCCACCCAGATGGCCAAGAGATACCTGAAGGTAGGAGAGGACTTCCCTTCTGATCGATAGTACCTCACCAAGAAGTACCTGAAGAAGCAGAGCCTGCGTGATTACCTGCGTGTGATCGCCTGTGGCAAGACTGGATACAAGGTTTGCTCCTTTTAAACTCTTTTTATCGTGTAGCTTGTCTATTTCAACGTTGAGAAGGATGAGGAATAAGTGGGTTCAGTCGTTGCTGATGATTGGGTTTGTTTGTTGGAGTCACTTTCATTCTAATGCAAGTCGATCGTGCAAAAAGCATCATAGCGGGTGTACTGTTTTGGGGTGCTGCCCTTCTTACATGTAGACGCGCATAGTAACGTTTGACATTGATCTTACTCTGGCGTACATGGATGAGGCAGTCGAGAATGCCGATCGCTTTTTATTTGATTATGTAACAAAATACTACCCAGAGCTGGGTATTTCGTACCAAGATGAGTAGTGTTTTCCAATTTCGCGTGAATTTTAGAATTATGGACATGATGGACGAGCTACTGAGAAGCCGTAACTTTGATTATAAAAATATTGGCGAACTACGCAAGCATGTGTTGTCCTCCTTTGTCGAAAAGTCCCCGTATGGCCTCATTCGAGCTTGTGTCGTAGGTACGATCCATCCGTGACAGAGGAATTGTTTGACGTATGGAGAAAGGAGAGAAACAAGGTAGTACCTCTATTTGTGTTCCCATATAGACCAAGTTGATCCCCTACGCTCAAGAGCTCGTGGAACTTTTGCACAACCACGGCTTTCTTCTCGGAATTATCACCAACGGGACAGCCGATCTGTCCTGCCATCCGGACTTGAACAGTTTGTTTACCGCTTTTGTTAATAGCGATCTGTGCGGCGACCGGAAGCCAACTCGCGTACCGTTTGACAAGGTTGCGGATGGGATCAGAGCTGATCGATAGATGAAAGAAATCATGGGGATTTATGATTCCTCAATGTATATGCACGTCGGCGATGACTACAGTTCTGACGTGGAAGGAGCGCATAATTCAGGATGGAAGTCAGTTCTCATTTCACGCAGCTCGACACCTTACCCACAGGGAAAGAAAGCTCCCGATCTGTGTGTAAAGTCGCTGCGAGACCTTTATTTGTTGTTTAAGGCCGTTTTGGAATAGAGATTTTTGATTTGTTTGTTGACCATAGTTTTTTACTTCACTCGAATCATGGGTAGCTTCGGCGCATGGCAGCCTAATCCATAGATTCTAGCACCGAGAAACAAGTGACTTCTGTAGAATTAGCCCCTGTAAATCACGATGAGACGAAGGGTCCAAATGTAGGGAATTTGTGGCTGATTTCATGTAGGATGCGGTGCCTAAGGGTAACGATATTTCCCCTAATACCGAATCAGAAAAAAAGAATTCTGAACCAACAACTGTTGTGGCAGATGTTATCCCCTTCGAAAAGAGTAAAAGCGTACTCCTCTTCTCTCAGTGTCACGCCTAGGGGACTTCTTGTTGCGCCCGCTTTTGGCATCAATATTTTCCCATTACGAGCTGGTTGCCCAAGTAAGCTCCAATCGATTCACTCTCATTGTATAGATATAAGAAGGAGTACTTTTCTTTTGATCTCATTGCTGGGCTAACCGTAGGTATCATGGCAATTCCTCAGGTGCGTGTTCTTTTTTCCTCCCTCACTCCCAGGGTATGGCCTACGCGATGCTTGCCAATCTTCCTCCCATCTATGGACTCTACGGGTGCATCACCCCCGTGTTCATGTATGGTCTGTTCGGCACATCGAGCCACGTCCACATCGGTCCCTTCGCTTTAGTCTCCATGATGGTGAGCAGCACTCTGTCCTACATCAACGCCGACACCAACCAAGAGGACTACCTCCTCGCTGTGAGCACGCTGAGCCTGATCTGCGGTATTCTCTTTATCATTCTCGGTGTTTGCCGCTGTGGCGTGGTCACGCGGCTTCTCTCCGAGACCATCGTCACCGCCTTCACCACGGCCTCCGCGTTTAACATCGGAGGCTCGCAGCTGAAGCACTACTGGGGCGTGTCGTGCGACGCGGACGTGTTTCTGGAGATCATCCGCACGCTGTTTTTCACGGAGACCCGGAAGTCGTTCAATTGGTGGGCGTTTTTGCTGGGAGGGTCGGCGACCGTGCTGCTCTACTTGATGAAGTGGGCCAACAAGAAGCTGCTGCCGAAGAAGCCGCTCCCGGTGGAGGTAGAAACGTGGAAACGGGGTGAAGGGTAGTTGTTTTTGCTGGTGATCTACATTCTGGTGATGTGGATCTTCGACCTGAAGCATCGCTGGAATCTGAAGTATCTCGGCGACTACGACATCGTGCGAGGTATTCTGCTCTCTCCCTTTCCGCTGATCGTCTAGGCCTTCCCCCCATGATCATCCCCGACTTTAAGAACCTTGATAAGATCATTCCTGGAGCCATCATGATTTGTACTCTTTCTCTCTCTTTCTCCCTTCTCATCTCCAGGCATTGTCGGCTACGCCATCACCGTCTCGCTCGGGAAGATCTTCGCTCGTCGCTTCGACTATCCCCTCGACGACAATCAAGAGCTGGTGGCTCTGGGCGCCGCGAGCGCAGTGGGCGCTTTTTTCTCGTGCTATCCCCCCGCCGGTTCGCTCTCCCGCTCCGCCCTCGCCGCGAATTGCGGTACGTTTTTGATTCTCCGTCGACCTCTAGAGGCGCGCAGCCCTCTGCACAACTTCATCTCGCCGCTGCTGATCATCCTGTGCCTCTTCATCCTCACCGACGTCATCATCTACATCCCCAACGCCTCGCTCGCGGCCATCGTGATCGTGAATTTGTTCTCGCTGTTCGCCCAGTTCGCCGAGCTGAAGCCGCTCTGGCGCACGTCCTGGGCCGATTTCCTCTCGTTTCTCGTGTGTCTGGTCCTCACCATCACGCTGGGGACCGAGGCGGGGCTGATAGGAGGAGTGGTCTCCTCTCTGCTCTGCCTTGTGATTTGCATCCTCGTGGCGCGCAAGCGTATGGACGGGTTTTGGAGGAGTGATGGGTAGAAGCGCCGGGGGATGGGAAAGGGCTGGAGCCGTTGACAGTGCCGGAGAGTGAGGTGTGGGGGAGAGGAGTGAGGCGTAGATGTGGGGGTCATCACGTGTCCGGCTTCGCTGCATTTTTTGAATCGCGATACCTACCGAAATCGCGTGGAAGCTAGTTTGCCAAGGAAGAAGATGGTGATGGATCTCAGACGCGTGCGATATATCGATGCCAGCGCGCTGATCACGCTGAAGGAGCTGCAGAAGCAGTGGAATAAGAAGGAGGAGCGAATCTTCTTCGTTGCCGAAACCGACTATGTGGAGTCGAAATTGAAGGCCTATGGAGCCGATGATGTTAAAGTTAGAAAGTCCTCAGTGTTGGACATTGTTTAAACTGTTTGATTGAAACGGCTCGTTAGACTGGAGAAGGGCAGTTTTCCTCTTCATATCTCTTTTCTTTTCTTTTTCTACGTTCTTTTAGAGATATGAGAACTTCTGAAGGACAGTCGCTGTTGAATAATGATTATCATCGGAAGGAACCGAGACGCTCTCCAGTTCTCTTTTTTGTTATCGGAGCTTTGTCGTGTGTTGTTGTGATCTACTTTCTGATGTCTTCCATCTCTACTTTCTACACTAGTCACAGTCTCCGCTCAGACTATTCCAAATCTAAGAATTTTGATCTCTTGATTGTCGCTGACCTCGATAAGAAGAGTCGCGTCGACACAGACTCCAAGGGGAAGTGGTATAGTGTAATGAAGAAAGGCCAGTTGACCAAGCAGCCGAACGGAACGTTTTCCATCGAGTGGGTGGATGAGACAAAGCTGTATACCAAGATCAGTGAAGCTGGTCGCGGAATGGAGTTGAGTGCTTTAGTTCGATACAATAACCGCCTCTATTCATTTGATGACCGTACCGGACTCGTTTTTGAGGTGGTGAACGGCAAGGCCATTCCTCGTCACATTCTCATGGAGGGCGATGGAAACAACGACAAGGGCCAAAAGACGGAGTGGGCGACGGTGAAGGACGGCAAGATGTACGTTGGCAGCTTCGGCAAGGAGTACACGAATCCCGACGGTTCGATCAAGAACACGAACAACATGTGGATCAGCATCATCGACAGCAATGGCCACGTCGAGCACGAGGACTGGACCGATCGTTTTAACAAGCTGCGCGATGCAGCGGGCTGTCCGTATCCTGGCTACATGATCCACGAAGCGATTAGCTGGTCGCCTCATCGCAAGCAGTGGGTGATTCTGCCGCGTCGTGTGAGCAAGAAGCCGTACGATGAGAATCTGGACGAGCGTCGTGGATCGAACACGGTGATTCTGGCTTCAGAGGACTTCAGCGAGATTGAGGTGAGGAAAATCACGAAGAAAACGCCGACTCGCGGCTTCTCGGATTTCAAATTCCTGCCTGGGTCGAAGGACAGCGTGATTGTGGCGTTGAAGAGCGAGGAGAACGAGGAGGAGAAGACGCAGAACTCGTATATTATGGTGTTTAACTTGGATGGAACGATGCTGATGGAGGAAACGGAGATTCCTGGAATGATGAAATTTGAAGGACTCGAGTTCATGTGATGTGTTGTTTGTTTGAAACGGAAATGGGTGTGGAGAGGAAGTGGAAGGGAGATGGAGCGAGTGGATTGATTCGGAAGGGGAGAGATGTGTCCATCCATCATTGATTCATTCATTGATTCATCCATCCATCCATCATTGATTCATTGATTCATTCCATCATTCATTTCATCCATACGTTCACTATTTCACTCACTCCTTCCATTTCTTTGAACAAACAACTCACAACTATTTAAAACGCCTGATTTCAATCACCTCTTCATCCTCCCCAATCTCAATATCCTCATCCGCAATCTCCGGAATCTCCGACGGCATCGCCTCCATCTCCACCTCATCCAGCGTGATCGGCGTGGCCTGCTTCTCCCTTCCCTTCACTCCTCTCCCCCTCGCCTACACAATCTGCTCCGGTTTCGGCGCCGATTTATACAAATACACCGCGATCGAGAGATTAATCACCGCCAAATCGAAGGGCAGCGTCAGCTCCGTGTTCAGCACCATCGCAGAAATGATCGACGTCAAAACCAACGCGCCTGCCGACGTAATCGCCTTCACCACCGACGAAAGATACTTCAAAATCGCGGAGGTGACCACGCCCATGTACACAAGTCTGCCTCAAAACCACACCACAAAGCCCACAAAAGCACAGTGAGGACCGCATAGCCGTTGAATCGATTCATTGTCAGCGACTGCGCGAACTGCCTTCCGTCCTCAGCGACCAGAAACACGAAGTTCACCACCACGCCCCAGCTAGCTAGCAAACCACACGCACAGCGTACAAATAGAGCCAGATGTTCTGCTGGAAGATCGACATGTCCTTGTGCGATTTCATCAGCTTCTCGATCGTTACGCCCGCGCACGCGACCAGCGCGCTGTTCATGATCGTCAGCAGCGCTGGGTAGACAGGGAAGTCGGAGAAGGAGGAATCGGCGGACTTCGAAAGCTGGATGGAAGCGACGGAATCGCAGATGAGGAGCATGGCTGCCCAATGAATACCGGTGAGTCTGAATTGTGAGAGTAGACGAGCAGCTACTTTTTCTTCAACACCACTACAGAGAAAACTCCCACGATCACCGTTTCTAAGGAACCAAACACTTGAACCGTAATTGGAGTGTCAATTATCGATAAAATGTAATAGTACACATTATGTCCGATTGCATAAAGCAAAGCCGGAATCGACCACAAAAAAATCTCCTTTACAGAAAACGACTTACGAATCGAGGGGTCTTTCCACGTTTGATATTTGAAAATGGCAAACGATATCGCCAACTTCAGAATCTACACATCAATAATTACAAATAAAGCAACTTCACCGAGCATTGTTGCCATCACCGGAGAATAGTCATAACCACCACTACTGTTTTTTGACAACTAGGAATCATTCGATTTCACAAAAATAAAGTACTTCTGTAAGAATACCTCGAATCGAATGAGTAGTCAAAGATGAGACGATAAGAAAGGTCCTGAATAAAATACTACTCATCTCTAATGATTTCAAATCAGGTCCTTTTGATAAAACATTGGAAACTCCGAGTTATGGAATTCCAATAATAAACGGTAATTATTCAAACCAAGGAACTAGTTTATAAGCTTTCCTAGGTAATTTTTTATATCTCTGTGACGAAATTAGAAGATAAAGAATGCCTCGTCAAGATAATAAAACTCTTCTTCAGCCGATTGATATCATCTTCCGTTTCCTTCAAGGCATATCCTTTTTCAAAATGGCAGTGCATTTGACTGCATTTCCTTTTATCGTTTTCCTTTACAGACTCACAAAACAGGCGTTCAGATCTGGCTGTATGATCAACCGCATGTGCGCATCGAGGGAGTGATCAACGTACTCAAAATATCATTTTTCGTGACACTTAGGGTTTTGACGAGTACATGAACATAGTTCTGGATAACGCTTCGGAAGTGAATATCAAGATGAAGACTCGAAAGAATTTGGGTATTCGGATCGCGAGAGTTGTGATTTGTAGGAAAGATTCTGTTGAAGGGTGATAATGTGACTCTGATCCAAGAAATCATCTAATTTGAGCCCTGTGGCATGATTGTTCTCTTTTCCCTGTTTGTTCGTTACTCTCGAGTATTTGTTGTTTTCAATGTCTTTTGCAAAATGATGAGTTCCCAAAATGATAATAGTCATTGAAAGAAATACGGTGATTCTTATTATTATAATCATTTGAGTGATGAGTCAAATTGTGTATCAATATGGAAAGCCATTCAATGATGAAGAATACGAGTACAGGTAAGGCTGGAGAATGGCGGTAATTGAAAGACAAGTGATAATCAAAAAGGAAGCCGTGGGGTTGATTCCCAAGGGGAAACTAATGAGTGAAAGAGAGTGGAGAAGTCTGGGAATCCAGATGAGTCTAGGGTGGGAACATTACCTGGAATATAAGTAATTGAGTGTAGAAACTGTTGAATGTAGGCCAGAGTCGAATGTGTTGCTGTTTCGAAGACCCCTAGGCACGGATGGAACCACAGGACTGGTAAATGTGGAAAAGGCAAATATGTTGAAGCGCCAATTTCGAAAGGAATACGGCTTAGAGGACTAAACTCTTTCATCCTCGTTTTTCATACCAAACTACTTGTATATTGCTTTGTTTATTTCAGCAAGCCATATGTGTATTACTTTCTGTATATTGATCACTGAAAGGTGATTAGTTTGCAAGGAATGAAAAAGTATTCACCAAGGAGCAAATTGGGTATTTTTCAGGATATTGTTGATACTCTTTTGTAGGGTACTTGATCCAATATACAAATATCAGTGTTTCTTGTGTGGCAACAAACACAACACATGAGTTTCTCAGGATACTTTTCGCATCCTCCCCTAAACTGAACACTATACGAGCTTGCTGCACATCCAGCGCGAACCATTTCAGCCAGTTCGTCCATCGAGCACTCTGCAAACGTCTTCTTCTCAAGCAAGTGCCCCAGCTGGTATGCAAACGTCCCAACAAAGCAATCTCCAGCACCCACAGTATCCACTACCTCCACCTTCGGACAGGAAACTCGTTTCCTCTGAATGGAAGTACATACTCAATTCCTACTTCGGTTCCTCTACCAATGAACGCCCCTTCTCCTCCTAGTGTCATGATTACAACTAAACCCGGTTTCATTTGGGTCATCACATCCATCATTTCAGCACTGTTACGATGGTCGCTACCAGTAATGATTTGGCTCTCTGTCTCGTTGGGAACTATAATGTCCACGTTGTCTAGCAGGACTTGGGACGAAGCAGGCGCAGGGTTTAAGATCGTGACTATATCTGAAGGTCAATGACATGCATGAATGCAACCATGTTTCTTGCCATATTCGAGAATCGCCTTGATCGTGTCGAATGGAATTTCCTGCTGTAGGACAAACACTTTGCAGGTGTCAGCTATCGAAATAGAGTTGAACTGGGGCTCAAACAACAAGAGAGATAACATACCTTTTCGGTTGTAAATAGATTATTCGCGCCTGCAATGACCACGATTGAGTTTTCGCCTCTATCATCAACACAAATCGTAGCGACTCCAGTGGTGGCGTTCTGTTCCACGATCACATTCTCCAAGTTCATTCCAAAACTTTGGAGATGCTTCTTGATCACTTCACCATTGCTGTCGTCCCCGATAACACTCACAAAGCGCATCTCATTCTTGTCACTACACAGTTTCGCCACAGCTACCGCTTGGTTTGCTCCTTTACCTCCACATCTTGTACGAAATTGCGTTCCAATGATTGTTTCGCCTGCATTCCAAAAGATAATAACGAAAACCTGCTTTTGGGATCCGTGGAGTTCGGACGATCAAATCCATATTCGAAGACCCAAGCACGTATATGATCGGATTCATGATTACAATCAAGGCAAAAGATTAAAAGAAGAAAAATGCGTCAACCGGGAATTGAACCCGGACCTCTACCTTGGAAGGGTAGAATCCTAACCATTAGACCATTGACGCTCCGAAACCCACTTCTTGCAACCCCAAAATAAAATACCATGTACAGGAAACCTTTCATATCCTTCTATGATCACGCTTTGAAGCTATTAAGCAATAGGCCGCATGCGTAAAGTTTGAGTCTGCATTTGTTCTTGTAGTGAGAAGGAATTACGGCAGAAACTCGAAATATTATCAAAGAAACGATTTAGCAGAGCTGAGTATTATAAAAAACGAAATTCCACAAAGAAAGTATCCTTTTCTGTATTTGAGAACGAGGCAACTCCTGGTATGTGCATATTTTTATATCAGTCAATGCAATAGAAGACAATGAGAGAGAAATCGAGGAGGCGATCTCCAGGTTGAAACAGGAAGGATTGGTAAATGATAAGCTATTTGCTGAGTGGTACTGCACGCAGAGACAAGAATTCAATCAGCGTAGTCAAAAACTACTCACTTTAGAACTACAGATGAAGGGTGTGGATCGATCGATAATACAAGAAGCTATAAAAATGTACCACGATGAAGATGCTTGTTGTCTACTCGTTGCACAACGAAAGATGAGTGTGATGGAACGGGAAAAGTTGATCAGTTACTTGTTGAGGAAGGCATGGTATTTGGTCATCGTGATAATGGATAGGGCTTTGAAATGAATACGATCCGGCAAGTTCTTTCGCAAAAATAGATACAAGTGGATAGTTGCTTTAGTTATTTTTTCAATTATATTCTTTTGTTTTCTATACGAATCTTAAGTGGATCAAGCAAGGATGATAGGAAGATAGCGGTGAGTTCCTTTGTGTTTGTGTTTTGTAATACATTTTTCTCCTTTGAACAACTTGATGGACAAACTGAAAGTTGAATTCCTTGGGTTGGATGAATAGTTTGATCCTACCTCTTTTCCGAACCATGAAGAAAATCCGTTCTTTGAATAACAGACATAATCCAGTTGTGAAATCATTAGATATGTCGATAACTCCCAATATTTTCCTCTGTACAGAACGAATTACAAAGAATTAGTTTGCAGTTCGTTATCATTGTAGTAACAGAATACCCTACTCTAATGCAATCGTTTCATATCATTATTCCTTTCTCATCCCTTGAACTTTTCGTATTTGATCTTAATAAACCATCATATCGCTTCACTCATTGTAGTAGCTACTGTTTCTCACCAATATTAGGGAAATTCATGCACTTTGTATGACCATTCTCCTTGTAACGGAAATTACGGGACCGAAAATTTATTGAATATATAGGAAATGTAATAATAAGCAATCTCTCGACTGCGATCGGTTTCACACGAATTCCGGTTAAATTACCAGGATTCAGGAAAACTGGAGCATCTCATTGCTGAAACTGTTTGCAGGAATATACATGAGCGTACCAGGTTTGTTTCCTAATTTCAAAAAATTGTACGTTTTTCTCCATAGGAATCGGATAATTCAGAATGGCTGAACAATCCGAGGTATTGAACGACCCAGAATGTATTTTCGAAGTGAAGGAGCAAATCGGCAAAGGGTAGGCGGTGATTTCTGAAAATCCTTTTTAGGTCTTATGGATCTGTTGTACGCGCTACACACAGACAATCCGGAAGAGTGGTAGCGATAAAAATCATTCCTATAGAATCTGAAACTGATATTTTCATAAAAGAGACTCAGCTAATGAAAAAATGTAATTCTGAATTTATAGTAAAATATTTCGGAAGTTATGTGAAAAATGTTGATCTCTGGGTGAGTTTACTTTTGTGGGGTTATTTTGTAGATTATAATGGAGTATTGTGGAGCAGGGTCAATGAGTGACTTGATGAAGAAGGGGCAATATGTAATCTACGAAGAGGAAATCAGATTTATCATGGCTCAAATTCTGTTGGGCCTGGCTCATCTGCACAGCTTAAACATGATTCACAGAGTCATTTTGAGTGACTGGATTGACCATAGGATATCAAGGCAGGCAACATTTTGTTAACTGACGAGGGAGTTGCCAAGTTGGCGGACTTCGGAGTGTCCATTCAGCTCGACAACTCGTCAGCGAAGCGAAAAACCTTTATCGGCACTCCCTTTTGGATGGCTCCAGAGGTCATCAAAGAAGAGGAATACAATTCTCTGGTCGTTTCACGGTGCTTGCATAATTTCCAGGCGGATATTTGGTCTCTCGGCATCACTGCGATCGAGCTGGCGGATGGCGTTCCTCCCTACTCTACGATGCATCCCATGCGTGTAGATGTCGCTCCCTGTCTGCTAGCTAGGCGATTTTCCTCATTCCGAACCGTCCAGCGCCGCGTCTTCGCAACGAGCAGAAATGGACGCACGAGTTTGTGGATTTCGTGGCCAGCTGTCTGGTGAAGGACCCGAAGAAGCGTCCCTCCGCGAAGGAATTGCTGAAGGTAGGCACGGCCGGCGCGTTCGACCTAGCACCCCTTCGTCGCCGATCTGGTGCCCAAGCTGCAGAACAACACGGCCGACTTCACCATCATGAAGGACATGATTAAGCGGCTCCGCGAGAAGCAGAGCACCTCCAAGGTCACTGGACCCAACGTCCTCAGGCCTCTCCAGCCCCTCCAGCCTGTGCAGGCTGTGCAGTCCGCGCAGCCCGCGCAACCTGCGCAGTCCGCTCATCTCGCATCGCCTGCACAGCCTGCACAGCCTGCACAGCCTGCACAGCCTGCAGCGCCTACCCAATCCTCGCAGCCCTCGCAGCCTACCCAGCCCTCGAGGACCAAGCAGGTTCTCTCGACTTCCTCGGCCACTCCCTCGACTCCGTCTTCGCAGACTCCTCGAGCGGTCATCCAAGTCACGCAAGCCACGCCTACCTCGCCCAAACTCGCTCCTGCGCCGCTCGTGCGTCCCGGCTCGCCCAACCCCAACGCTCGCTCCTCCCTCTTCAAATCGGCCAACAGCGTGGTTCCTTCCTCGCTCCCCGACCTCTCCCCAGGGGGCCAGGCGAAGCCCGCGATGCACAGCCCTCCCCTCAAGCCCCACACGCTCGCCTCCACCTCAGGAAACGCATCGATCGTCTCGAACGCCTCGGGCAGCCAGACCCCCAAGCAGTGGCCGCAGAGCTCCACGCCTCGACTGAGCTCCAACCCGGGCGCCGAGCGAACCTCCCCGTCGATCGCGTCCCCGCGCGGGTCGCTGAGTCCCCCGCGGAGCATGCCGGGCATGGGCGATAACATGTCGGCGACGGGAACGATGGTGGTGCTGGAGAAAAGCGAGGAGTCCGTGAGGAGTAGGGAGGTGCCCAAGAAGATCTCGCTCATTCCCGTGCAGGGAACGGAGATGGATCGAAGCGTGCCTTCGGTTAAGTCTGCACAGCCGCAGCATGCTGTGAATCGGAGCAGTCTGCCGACGCTCTTGACGTCCAGCTCGATGGGTCGATGTAAGAACGAAGCGCATATTTTTGAGACAAAGCACAACCCCAACCTCGCGCAGGATTCAATCTGGACGGGATGGTGGATAGCATCTTCCCTATGAAAGACATGAAACAAACTAGACTCAAAACGAGTGTAGAGCGAGGAGGAAGGGAGTTTAAGGTGTAGGAGAGCGAAAAGAGGAACCAGATGAGAGCTGCATTGATAAAGCAGTTTAAGGAGGATGTTAATTTGCTGATCAGTGCCTATAAAAAGGAAATAAATGATTTATACACTCAACAGTAAATAGATGTCTTGTTTGTTTGTGAAACAAACACATCGAATAGTGGATTGTGTGACAGACAATTGGAACAGGCCTAGGCCTCTTCTTCAGCACTGGGATCCTCGGGTCGAATGCGGAAAAAGTGTTTAATCATTTCAAAATCATAAGACTCCTTTTTATCTGGGTTAATTACATCGAGAAGGCTGTAAAGCGTATCAAAGTCGATGTCGACTTCCGCTTCGATAAGAATTTGCTTGAACTCATCGAACGAAATCAGTCCGTCCTTATCGTGGTCGACATAGTCGAACAAAAACTTGATATCGTCAATCTAAAGCAAGATAAGAAACAAACGGGTCAAGATGAACGGCCTACATCTTCAGCACTTAGTTCTCTCTCTACGACTGCCATCTCACTGGAAAAGTGGAAATGGCATTTTGTCAAAACCGCGGGAATATGCCATTTTGAGCAGCAAAAATAATAAACAATTGGGAAAGAATAATGGGCAATATGATTCAGACCACCGCAGAAGAAAGACGTATGATGTTCAGCATGCTAGGGAATGTCGCACATTTAGAAAATGTGGTATTTATAAATAAATACACACTATTATCAGGTAATAGGACTAGCCATAATTATTATGGCGTAACAACTATTCTCAATGAAACGCCCTGATGAAAGGTGGAATTATAATTTTTTAATGAATATACGTACAACAGCAGTTGTAGTATTAGTTTTTGCTGCAGTTTCTTATTTTTCTTCGACCTGTTCGTACTGAACCTCCGCGTCACTCTGTAGATGCCTCGAAAAGTCTGAATGAACGAGATGCTACAAAGCCAGTATTAGAGATTCTAGGTGTGTACCCAGGAGTGGATACTATCGACATTTGGTTATCGCTTGATCAGGAAGGAATGGTTGACTGTGTTGCCGTGGAAACTACTGATCCCGTCCCGGATAAGAATGCTTTCAGGGAGTTGGTTAAAGCGAATGGGAACAACACCTATGTAACTATTAAGGAATTGAAGACGGAACATGACTATCATGTTTATTGCTATGCCGAAAACGCGTATGAGATGAGTCCTGAACAGCCAATCTCATCAACTCTACAAGTTACAAAAACCTTTGCTTTAGGTAATGCTCCTGTGCTTTTGATCGGAGACCTGGCTCCTGACCGAGAGGGTGTTGTTTTGGACGTTGTGTCTACTGATCCTGGAACTGTGTATTGCATGGTCTTACCTCTCGAGGAGGAAGGAATGTGCAAGTACAGAGTCCGAAATGAGGGAAAGGAGGTTCCTGTGGCCTCGTACGAGACCAAAGAATTGAGCACCAGCGGTCTGACTCCTGCTACTCAGTACGCCGTGTATTGCACTGCTGAGTCGACGAGCAATGTTCCCATGCGTTCCGATGTCGAGAAGGTGTCGAGACATTTTACTACTCTGGAGCCCAAAGAATCTCCCCTTGTATTCACCCTTCGAATCCTGGCTACCGTGTTCTGCGTCTGCATGTCCGGTATTTTCAGCGGACTGAACCTGGGTTTGATGGGTCTGGATCTGATCTCGCTTCGAATGGTCGCTGATACCAACATCGAAGAAATCGGAGGAGATAACGTGGATCCCAAGGAGCTCGAGGACCTAAAGCGAGACAAGCGCAACGCACAGCTGATTTATCCCATCCGAAAGAAGGGAAACTTGCTGCTGTGCACCCTTCTGATCGGAAACGTCATGGTGAACTCCATCATTTCCATTCTCACCGCTGATATGACCACTGGATTCATCGGTTTCCTGATCTCCACCTGTTTGATCACTGCGTTCGGAGAGATCATCCCACAGGCCTACGGATCGCGCCACGCTCTGGAGATCGGAGCGATGTCCGCGACGCTGGTCCGCATCATCATCGGCATCCTGTGGATTATCTGCAAGCCCGTGTCCATGCTGCTGGATTACTTCCTGGGCGATGAGCTGGGCGCGGTGTACAACCGATACCAGCTCTACACGATGTTTGAGCTCTACAAAGAGCATAGCACCTTCCGCAAGGACACGATCAGTACCATGCAGGGAGCTCTGGTGATGGACACCAAGTCAATTCTGGATCACATGCATCCGCTGGATACGGTGTACATGATCCCCGATACGACCATGCTGGACTACTCGACCTGTCTGGACATCTTCCGACGCGGCTACAGCCGAATCCCCGTGTTCCACGACGATCGTCAGAACATTGTGGGCGTGCTGCACGTGAAGGAGCTGATCATGATCGACCCCAACCAGTGCGTGAGCGTGCAGTCGATCCTCAAGCTCTTCCCCAGCAGCATTCTGGTCATCAATTCGAACCGCACCGTCAGCGACTCCATTCGCGACATGGTCAACTCGCACACCGAGCTGGCGTTCGTGTCGCGCACGATCGAGAACAAGGACATCGACAACACCATGGAGATCGCCGGTATCATCACTCTGGAGGACTGCATCAAGGCCGTCATGCGGCTTGAGCTGGTCGACGAGACCTCGCTCATGGAGGCTCGCAACGCCTCCGGCTCGCTCATGAGCGTGTTCAACAACCTCACTCTGAACAGTCTGGACTCCACGACGCTGGACATCCTGGGCTGCTTCATCAACCAGGCGCTGGGCAACCAGGGCTACCATCTCCCCGAGGACGTGATCCGCAATCTGATCCGCGAGGGAACGATCAGCAAGGTGACCACGAGCGACCCGCCGCTGTACGAGGTGGGCAAGCCGTGCGACTTCGCGACGATCATCATGCAGGGCGTGTTCACGATGGTGGTGGGAGAGGACCGCATGGTGACGGAGAAGCCCATCTTCTCGGTGATCAACCTGTCGAGTCTTTTGGAGGATAGCTTCATGTAGGAGGAAGAGAGGGCGGATTGACGCGTAGATCTTCGGTTTCTTTAGAGCTCCACGAGCGTCCCATCGTGGATATGTTCACCAACAAGGTGACGGGATTCAATTGCGAGGGATACGTCCTCAAGATCACCAAGGCGTAGGCGTGGGATTGGGGCGTGACTTGTGTAGGGCTGCCGATAAGCTGAACTTGAAGGCGCGATTGGTCCCGCTGCGAAGCAACTCCGTGAGTGTGACCGGAGCAGGCGGTTCTGAATACAGTGTGATGCTGCCGTTCGAGATTGAAATGCCGGAGGAGTCGGAGAAGACGAATTGAGGTGAGGGATATCAAACTGCTTTTTGGCTTGTTTGTTCGAATGGATCGAATGGTTCGAATGGATCGAATGGATCGAATGGATCGAATAGCTCGAATGGATTGAATAGCTCATATGGATCGAATGGATTGAATAGCTCGGATGGCTCGATTAGCAATTCATAGTCTTCCGAAATCCGTTCTTGTAGGGGGTGAGATGACAGGGTCAGAATGTACTCATTGGCTGTAGAACCATGGCTGATGTGAGTAAGTTGAGCGATGAACAAGTCGACCAGGTTTTTGAAGACTGCTTGAATTTAGAAAATGCATTCTATAAGAGAGGATGGGATGACGGGTTTGCAAAAGTCAACAAGGAGGCCGTTCGGGATGGAGAAAACTACGGGTACTTTTCTTTACATGAATGCGTCATGCGCATAGCAAGCTGTACGGATTTACTACTTCCAGCATCATCCATTACTGCAAGTCGATCTTGGCCACGTTGGTCCGTGACGCTGTGCTCGACGAGATGAATGCGATCACGTATTATCTATGCTGCTATGCTCACTCGACAGCCAAGCCAAGAAGCAGGCGATGCGAACTCTAATCATTCGTATCGAAAAGATGGAGGTATGTCTATTTGCTCTGTGGAGGACCATAGGCGGAAGAAGCATATGATCAAACGAACCTCGTATCCATGGTGAGACGGTTCAACGTGCTCATGGACCGCGTGGGACTCCCCGATATGAAGTAGCCGAAATGGATCATGTACTCATTTAGAATTTTAATTCCCGAAGAGAATGAAGACGTATCCTTTTAATTCCTCTCATTTGTTTGTTAAAAATCGAAAAATATCGGAAAGGGGAAGGATAGCGGTATCCCACGGTCTCTCATTTGCCTTTTCAGGTGACAAATTGATTGGGTTCAAGTTTTTCTTGATCTCAATTTTCTTTCTACCATTTGACGCATGATTGAGATTGATGTTTACTATGACTTTGCGTGCCCGTGGTGTTATGTAGGATTACTTCGTCTTGATGCAGTATGGTGGAGCACTTTTTAGATAATCTGTAGGCGCTTTCGCAGTTCCACGAAAAAGTAGATGTCAGAGGTCACACTGTATTCCTTGGTCTATCTGTTGATTTTAGTATATGATTGATCCCGCGACATCTTTGGATGGAGAAACCGTGGAAGGGTACGTGGCAGTTGAAATGGCTAAGTTCCAGATATTCTATGCGTAGATGGGGATCAACTGATTGGATCAACGGATTAAGGGAAAGTGGAAAGAAGGACAGGATCACGTTCAACAATTGGAAGTAGGTTGCAGAGTTTGCTCACCACATGCAGATTTTGGCCGAATTCGTTCAACGCCCATCGAGTCATGATGTACGCTCGGTCCATCCATTTCAAGGACGTTCACAATCTCGCCCTTACAATATACAACGCCGTTTATGAACAAGGCGAAAATATCAGCCTAGTTGAGACACTAAACCGTTTGGCAGAACAAACCGGGTTGTACGGAGTCAAAGAAATGCTGGAATCCGACAGATTCATCGAAGAGGTTTTCGAGGAAGACGATTTCGCTAAATGCGACCTTGAAATTCAGTACTGCTTTCGTTTGGGTGCTTAGAAACAGGGGAGTCCCTTACTTCATCGTGAATGACCGGTTCTACTTGGAGGGAGCCAATCCACCTTCTGCCTTTCTTAATGTTTTTCAAATCATGGAGAGGATGCTAGCGAATGAGAAAGCTTTGTGTATCGATGGTAACTAGGTATCTGCTTGCCATCTGTATTCCTTTGGGATATTTTTATATTAATATAAACCTATTAATATCTTGCATATTCTGTTGTTTGTTTTAGAAAAGGGAAGGAGTGGCTGGCTATTCGGGAAGGAGTTTGGCTAATCATGGTTTGGTCTTCCGGATCGAAGCCGCTTTTGGACAAAAACGTTCATGTGTGCATCGTAGGACTCGGAGGATTGGGGTGCGAGGTAAAAACGGCGAATGGGTAGCATTGTAGGTCGCAACTCTTTTGTGTATGGAGAATGTGAACGAGTTCGTGTTAATTGACATGGATTTAGTCGAGATTGGTAATATGCGCAGGCAGATCTTATTTTCCTCAAAAGACATCGGTTCGTACAAGGTCGATTGTGTGAAGCGAGCTATTATAGCTCGCAACTCGACTGCTCACGTTCACTTGTATAAACAGTCATTTCAATCAGTCGATAAGCAACAGTTGTGCTCAGTTCAAGTTATTTTTGGGTGCACCGATAATCTGGAAGCAAGGGAAGCGATTAACCAATTCGCGCTCACGCACTCGATTGTTTACATTGACGGCGGATCTTCAGGATTTGGAGGCCAAGCTCAGTTGATTCTTCCTGGAATCACTCCATGCTTCCATTGTCTCTCTTGCCTGTTTTCAACAGAGTCACAACAAATCCCCTTGTGCACGATCCGTTCCCGTCCTACGCGTCCAGAACACTGCATTCTGTATGCTTCAACGGTGTTGTGGGAGAATGCCTTTCAATCTCCTTGCGACATCCACGATGAAGCAGCGTGTCGATGGATTTACGAGAAAGCGCTGGAGCGAAGTAGAGAATATTCGATCGACGGCGTAACGCTCGAGACGACAAAAGTGGATTAAAAATACAATCTTTAGCGTAGCTTGTTCTGCAAGATGCGATCATTACCTTACCTGCCACAAACGCGCTTATCGCCTCGTTGATGGTGCGGTTTCTTGATCAACTGACGGAAACAACGGAGATTCGCGAGAATTATCGAATGTGTTTGTAATCATGTTTTGTGAGAATCAGATATCGCGGTGATGAAATTGAGTTCATTGAAGGATTTTGGATGGAGAGGAACGAATCGTGCGAAGTGTGTGGCGAGCAGCAGAAAGCCTTGGCGCTCTCCATGCCTTCCAGCAGCACGTTGCAAAGTGTCGTGAATGAATTGAAAGCCAAATTGGATTGCTGTAACGAAAGCAGCCATGAAACGGTGTTTGTTTCGCTGTGGGCAGGATCGAAATTGCTCTACGCTGAAGTACACTTTGATTGTTCTCTCGAATCCTTATCGTAGAAACCCAAATCGCTCCACAAGGCCACGCTTTCCAATCTCTCTCGAAGCTGCTCTGATCTTTCTCTTTCATTTATCGAAGCGCGCATCTCATCGAATCACTCCGATCAAATCATCTCCATCTCTCTCCATTCCCTTGTTTTCAAACAAACACTCCACCAATCCAATCCAATCCAATCATTCTCCTCATTCTTCGTATTGTTCTCGCAACGTATTCAACACCAGTTCCACATCGCGCTTTTTCAGCATCGGAATCATCACTCTACACTTCATCTCGCCACTCCACTCCCACTTTCGTCCCAGCATCGGCAGCTTCTTCACCTCCTTCATTCGCTCCAGCACATGCATCAAAATCTACCCCTCATTCCTCTCTCGCGCCGCCCACCGGCATCGCCACCATCGGATACTTCTCATTCCGCACATCGTCGTCCAGCACGTCCGTGATATGTCCCGACAGCAGCAACTCGAACAGCTGATGAATGTCGTTAAAGCACTGCCTATCCCTCATTCTACCTCCCCTCCTTCACCCCAAATCCGGCGTGTCGAACTCCTCAACGCGGCTTTCCAGCGTCAGCAAGTCCAGATTCAGATTGAACACGCCCAGCACGTTTATCGATCCCTCTCCGTCCGCCAGCAGCGACTGCATGTACTGAGCGATGTGGCGACATGACGTGAACTGGCAGACTTCGATTAGAGAGCGCGGCATGAACGACAGTCGCTCGAAGATCGACTTCAAATAGTCCATCACGCGATTGGCGCAGTCGTGCGGCTGCTGCGCCGGATTGGACGGGCAGAGATGCTCGGAATCGTCCAGCTCGCTGAGAATTGCCGTGCATTCATTGCCAATTCCTTCGATCATCGCATCTTGAATCTGACTCTGCTGCTCGATGAAATCGTGGCGATATTTGTCAAGCGACAACCCGGCATTTCCCATGTGATTATCATCATTCGCTCTACTCCTCAGCAATTCTTCTCAGCTCCGCACAGCAAAATGCGCTGCAGCGCTTCGACGGCCTTCGCGAACGCGCCGAAATTCAGCGACAGGATCGCCAATTTGTGCACTTCGGACTCTTCGATGCTCTCTTTTTCTCCCTGCAGCGCGCCGACCAAACTTTCCAGGATCGCGGTCACCAACTACGCTCAGAATTCGATCGAACGCGCACCTGGTAGAGCGGGGAATAGCTGTCCGTAACGCCCAGCGACGTCGTAATGCGCCCAAAGCGCAGCATCGCGTTGCTGATCGTCTGCAGAACCGTCGGAACCGTCCCGGTAAACTCGCAGACATACGGGAAACTCTGCGAGTCACGCGCTCCCCTCGCGTCTACCGTGGGCGTCTCATCGAGCAGATGGTATTTGGAGATAGGTCCGAAGAAATCCTCGGCGGAATGGATCGTGTACCGCTCGAAGCGCTCGTTCTCGACGGCGTCGCCGACGTCTCTGCAATGAATCCCCGCGGTGAACCCAACGTCATGACGCTGCTTTTGATGATGTCCACCGACTGCTCCACGAGGGAATTTCGCATGTCGTAGATTGATTCCACGTTGAAGAGGAGCGGCTGGCCGCTCATCACGTCGGCGTAGGTCCACACGGAAGTCTAGAGAGGATGAGAAGCGATGAGAAGAAGCGAACTTCGATGCTGAGAAGCGTGTCGACGTCGGAAATCGAGCGCAGATGGTAGAGCAGCGCTTCTTTCAGCGTCTTCAGCTGCTCGTTGAAGAGGTCTTGCATCTACGCTCGCAGCTCCTCGCCTGGCTCACATGCGTGGAGTCGTTGTACAGCAGCGAGCCGCGCTGCAGATTGTCCTCCACCAAGAAAAACCCGATCGAAGCGTACAGCAGTCCGTTCAATCTGCCGGTTATTTCCCCGTCCATTCACGACAGCGACACGAACTTGCTCGTCTCCAGCGCCTTCAAGTTCCGACTGGCCAGCAGATCGAAGTCGCACTGCGTCTACGCCTCGCTCGCCTTTCAAGCCAACCCACCTCGCGATTCTCGATGTACAGCCGCTTGAACTCCGACAGACGACTCGCGTGCTCGAACACGTGCTGGTACTCGAACACCACGCTCAGATCCACCTTCTCCAGAATGTCCTCCACGCCTTCCTTCTCTATTCGTTACCGCACCGCGGGGATCCGACTCAGTTTGGCGTCGGCGTCTTTATGCTTGCGGTTAAACGCGCGGATCATGCTGGCTTCGCCGATCGTGCGACAGACCGAGCGAATCTCGCCGCACCATTTGAGGAAGGCGCTGCGGCAGAGGCTCTGGATGAGGGAAACCAAAAGGGGAAACGATGATCTTGTCGGTCTGCGGCTGAATGAAAGCTTGGAGATTGCGAGTCAAGCGACACTCGGGGACCGTTTTCAGACTGACTTTGAGGGTGTCCAGGGTTTTGAGAGCGAGGTAATAGTTCTTCTCGTCCACCTGAAATTAAAAACCAAAATAAGAAAAGGGAAACGAGTTTGTTCACACGCTCCACCATGGTGAGGAGACTGTCGAAAATCACGAGATCGTCGCTAGCCTTGCCAACATGCTCGAGTGTGTTCTGGTAGGAGATGTAACGCTCGGTTTCGCGAAGAATTCTGGAATGTCAAAAAGGAGGAGAAATTCTACCGCGTTCCCTTGAAAGATACGTCATCATGGAAGCTTGTAACGTTGTCCTAGGTGTTATCCTTCAAAAAGATCTCGATACTCGTAATGCCTTAACATCGCGTCTCATATCTAGAATCTGATCCATATTGTTACAGAACTGAATATAGTTCTTATTACAATTATCTTGTAAAGATCTACATAGAAGCCCTCAAAAACGACTTACTGTTTATGATCATCGATATAAGATTTAAGACTTTTCTTAAAAGGCTCGGTCCATCCCCTCTGCAGCACCGTTTTCAGCATAGGAATAATCTACGCCATATTTCAAACAACACACAAAAAACCTGATAATCCTCATTTAGACCTTGAAGCAAAGCCTCACAACTCTGTTCTGTATCTGCAGGATTTGAACTCATCGTATTCTATACAGATTTTCACCTTCCCTGAAAACGGCAAAATGGATTATTCATCCCTTCTTCATATTATCCACCGATATCAATCAGTAAGTATTAAGAAGGGGTAGAAAATTAAAAAAAAAGAGCGGATTCCAACAAACACACACACTAACAAAACATTAAGGAAACAAGTCTTGCAATCCATAATCATTCGACAACATGGGCCTATGCATCATCCACACGCTTCCCAACCCTCCTACATCTGCATCGAATCTAACTCACTTAATCCGAAATCCAGCGGCGTTGAAACACCCGCTATCCATGATTTTCCGATCCCAACCCTACAAAGCTCCGATGGATTTAATTTCGGTGTATAGGGAGGGGACATGGCACCCACAGACGCCATTGGTCCCGTTAAACCCTGCGAACCCGACGGAACTTGCGGCGATTCGGTCGTGGATGGAAGCAGATAGGTGCGAATCTCGCCTCCAGAGGAAGACAAGAAGATTTCATTGTCTCTTCCATCGCGGTTATTCGTAACATAAACATCCGTTCCTACACTCAAATCGTGGAAACAGGGGAAACCTGGAGGCGCACAAATGGCTATGATGGTTTGATTGGGGTTTGGATTACTCTTTTGACAAGAATTCACAAGTTCATCGGTGGTTAAAACGACGCTGGGGTTATTATAATACTAAATTGGAGAAACAGGGGAAACAAAACGGTGTCTTCGAGGTAAGAAGAGAACTCTTCGATGACTTTATCCAGCTCTTGACATTGCTTTTCTAAAAGGTCTCGCTTCGATGAGACAGCACGCTGCTCCTCGTCGCTTACAGTGGAAACAGAGCCACCGCTACATCAAAAAGTATAAAACAGAAGGTACATCCAATGATAACTACTCTTTCCTTGCTTCTGAAGAACGTTGGCTCCGATTAGGGCGTTTGTGATATCGTATATTCTTCTCTTCTCGACGCCAAGCATACCTGCAGCGTACATCACATCGATCGTTTCATCTTCTTGATTCTAGCGTGAGAGGCAAGTGCGCAATATACTTACTCTTACTAGCTTGACAAACTCAGAAGCTAAATATGCTAATGACTTCGCTTTCCTTCCTTTTGAACTAGGAGGCGGGGGATATACTGTAGAGACATCTCCCATGGTGTCAACATCATCGTGAGTTGTACCAGATAAATTCTAGACAAGATAAGAGAAAACAACAAAGAGAACTTACCACAGCGCCTTGTTGCATATCTTTTCTCTAGGTAGAAATTTAAGAATATTACTAATGTCAGATCAAAAGAAAAGCCACTCACAGGGATTTTGACCAAAGGTGCAATAGTGAGAACAAGCTATAGAGGGAATGCCTATTCTCTAAATAAAAAGAACAACTAGAATGATCTTCGGTTTGTTCAGAAGAATAGTGGCGCCAAAATTCAAACAAGATTTTTCGTTTGATTTTGAGAAGATTGAATCCCGACAAACAAAAAAAATTTAAATGGTTGAGGTAATAAACAAGTAAACACACAACATTTACATTAACGAGATATCTAGAGATTGGTTGGAACTCCCTTCTCCTTCTTCATTTTCTTTGCCATCTCCAACACCTTTCTCAATATCAAAATTTGGTTCTTTTCATCCGCCTCCTGCATTGTCTTCGTCAACGCCATTACAATGTTCTCTCTCCCCACCGACAATACAGACTCCATCAAATCCACAATAGAGTCAAGCGTCAGCACGACATTCTCGCGAAGCACACATCCCGGTTCTTTCTGCACGAGTTGTATCACAATCAGACAGCAATGCGTGATTTCCTTCTACAAAACACTTCTATCGACCCAGAATCTACGCAACGTTCTTGGTGCACAGTGAGGTACAATCGCAGCACTTCCTCGAAAACGGAGATCAAGAAAAGTCCATCGCGTCGAGCAGAGAGCAGAGGAAGCAAAGCAATCAAAAACGGGAACAGCATCTGCACCGCTTTTCTACTCTCAACACACAAATCCAACGAAAACATCGATCCTGAGCGAAGTAAAAGCATCACCACCTCGAATAAACACGATCGAAGCGGATCTGAAGTGAGAAACAACATCGAAAAGCGTTCTCGCATCGCCAGAATTCGCTTGTTTATCAAAACCTGCGTGTCGCATTTGCTGTCTTCCATCGCGTTACTCTCTCCATAGAGCGATTCAGACGTGAGAAACGGCCGATTCACGAGGGACATGGCCATTCCTCGCATTGTGTGACCGATGAAATAGAGAAGACAATTCGCGACGGTGATCGAAAGCAAATTTTGGCTATTTTGCAAAACGATTTCGCGGATTTCGGGAGTGAGGGTGAAACAATTCACTAACGATAAGTGGAAACGGGGAAGAAAACGGGATTCCGGAGAAAGAGGGCGTTTCATAATGGTGGCTAAAAGAGAAAACGAATTGATGAGAAAGGTGGAAAGAGCAAAGGAAAGATCTGGAAGACGCGAACTCAGATAAATTCTAAACGAAAAAAGAGAGAAACGTGGAAAACGGGATGAGAACGGAAAGAAGCCATTCTTGGATCATACTGAATCGCATTTCAACGAGATAATTCGCACTCAATTCGTTCGTCCACTCAATCAGATTGGCAGAAACATTCGTTTCGTTCAGCAAAATCTCTTTCCAGCATCGCTACATCAAAGAAAACCCGATCACCCAACCAAAATCGCGCGGAAGAACGACAACATCATTTCGCTATGAAGGAACGGCTTTGACGGCAGATAATTCGAAAGTTCCTTTTGACACCACGCCGTCCAGACGATCCCAGAAGCAGGATTATCCGCTGAATGATCGAGCGAAACGTCCAGCGAAACGCGTGTCAATTGAAGCAGAACTTGAATGAAACTGTCGGGAAAGGATCCAGTGATGGTGTGACGAAGAGAGAAGATTGTGATCGATGAAATGACGTCAGCGATGGAGTTGAGAGAGAGAATGACGCGACGAAGCGCTGGAAGGCTGAGGAATGAATGAAAAGAAGGAGAATGAAACTTTGCGGCGAAACAAGATCGAAAAGAATCGGCGGAAGACCAAACGGGTAGAGCGTCTTCGGCACAAAGCAAACTGCAAATAAGTGGAAACGAAACGTGGAAACGAAATGAAATTCGAGAGAAAAGAGCGAATCTCCGAGAGGATGACGGATTCCTCTTTTAGAGCCAACACAGTCAACACTACAACACGAAAAGAAAAACAAACACACGATAAGACTTGATTAGAAGCGATTGGATTTGGTCCGAAAGACCGTCCACTGAAAGAAGCATCAGATACCGGTTTTTGAACGCTTCGTACTGGGGAAGTATTATCTCCAATTGGCTGGACACGAAGGAATGAATGTATTTTGCAATCTCTGCCTCGAGAGAGGTGCTATCGATTAGAAAAAAGAATCGAAAATCGACTTTGAATTCTCTGAATGAGAAAGCAAAATATCGAAGAATGGATCCAAAGCAGGATGATAATCGTTCTAAATCACAGCAAAAACATGCAAAAACGTCTTTAAAGGTAACCTGTGTAATCAAAACGGAGAGAATGCGAATCAAATCGAGTTGCTGCGAACAGTTTTCATAATATAAGTGGTTTTTCAGTCGCTCGAACAATAAGTACAATCGATCATTCGTCAAAGCGTCTTTCTGAAAAGAAAGCTTCACTCCGTCCACAAATCCTTTGCAAATACAATTCACCGCTGCTTCTGATGTTACATCTTTAACTCGATCCGAGTCATATCTGAAGAGAACACAACGCAAAGAATCAAAACAATTTCATAACAGAGTCATAGACTTGGAGACAATTGATCACAACGAAGGAATGAATGCACTCGCGGATTGTTTTTTTCAGTTCGCCTATATTCGGTTTGAGTTGAGCCGAATCGAAAATCGATCTGACAAGTCAGCAATGCATCAACAAAACTCTACAAATTCCGAAATGAATTATCTTTGTGAATCACGCAACAATCCACAAACGCGACAAGCGCTCGCTCAATCACACTATTTTGAATTTGTCTGCATCACAAATCATTCATTGCATCAAACCGTCGCTTTGCATCCGCAATATCGTTCGGCTTCATCAGCAAAGGAAGACACGAAATCATCGCTCCCGCCGGCTGAATGGACGGAAACGTTACGCCATGGAGAATAATCTCAAAAAGAGAAGAGAGAAGCGCGATTTCGGAATCGCTGCACAGGATTGAGAAGACTTTGGATTGCGTTCGAGTGAAAATGTTGACCATTCTAACAGAAAGAAGCGACAATAGAAAAAAAACTGATAAAATTGTTTCATCAGGAAAAAGATCTCTTGGCACATCGGCTGTGCGGTCAAAATCCCTTCTAAATGACTCAAAAAGTCGATTATCGAGCAGACCACCGAGCGATTTTCCTTCGCAAAGGGATGTCTAAGAAAGAAGAGGAAGAAACAAATAGAAAACTCTGCGAGCGAAGTAACGTAGGAAAGACAATCGTTAATGTAGGAGGCATCTTGAAGAAGTGGCAAAACCACCGAATTCACAACGGGAATATTCGAAATCAGCAAGTCTTCATGGATCTACACTCAATACTCACTTTATTTTCGAACGCTTTTTTGAATGGCGTTAAAGAATCGAATGAAGGCTGATAGGATTTCATGCAGCAGAGGCGATTGGGATTGTCGCATGATGGAATCCACCATTTGCTGAAGCAAATCGCGCTCAAAGGGAAGAAAGGAACTGATTCGTTTCTTTCGACCGTTCACATAATTGAAATCTTCCTGGCTGATACAGAGATCTGTGGCGAAGTGGACTAAAATGAGCACTGCTACATATAGATGAACATCATCTCCAGCAATCTAATCATCAAGAATGATTCACACGGAACACGCATTTTATAATTGAGCTAATGCAAGATTTCCACTGACTTGGCCAGCATATAGTCATGGCTGTACCAAACAAGTGCGAAAACTTCCTGACGAGTGTAATATTGCGCTGAAAATCCCTCTATTATAATATTGATAAACTGAATTTACAGAGACTCCGGAATCTAAATAGGTTTCAAGAAATTGTAGAACGAATCTCTGATTGTTGTTGGGAACCACTTTCCAATTCTTGTTGAACATCTCAATTAATATATTGACAGCATAAAAACGGCAATCAAAAGAAATGTCTACTACCTGAAGCAAATCAACGAATCAATACTCGGATCTTCTGACTGCATGATTTCTATTGCCACTACGTGAAAATCCGGAGATTTCAAGAACTGATTGAGATAGTCGTTCGATTCTTGCTTTTGTTCTGCTGAACTCCATGGATTATTCAAAATATCCACGCACTGCAATACTGGCCGAATATCCATTATTGCCACCAAAAAACTAGCAGCAGATTAACGAATTCCCTTTGTTATAAGCGTTTGCATCATGGGAAACTGTGTAGGTTGTCTAGTTCTTATCTAAGCCAAGTGTTGTGCTCAAACAAAGAAAAGCCGGAAAACCCTCTATTCTTACGATAGCGTGAATCACTTGCCAAAATTATCGCCAAATGACTTTGAAATAATCCGGTATGTGGGGAAGGGTGGCTTTGGAACAGTTTTCCTGGTAAGGACTAATAATTTTGGTAATAATAAGGTGAAAAAGAAAGATTCCCAAAAGCAATTTTGTATGAAAGTTGTACAGAAAGATTTGGTGTCCGAGTCGAGATTTCTTTCTTGATTTACTTTTAGTAAAATAAACTACCGAAATATGTATTCCGAAAGAGATTCGATGATAAACCAAACATGTCCCTACTTAACAAAGTATTTGTCTATTTTGGTCTGAGATTTAGTCTTTACTGTACATTTCAAACAAAGTCCAAGCTTTATTTTATTACGGAATACTATCCAGGTGGTGATTTGAACTATCATATTCAACAAACCACCCTTCCGGAGTCGCTCGTGGCCTTTTACACTGCAGAAGTGATCGTAGCTCTTGACGCTCTGCACCAACAGAACTACATTTATCGTGACTTAAAGCCGGAAAACCTTTTGCTTGACGATAATGGGCACATTCATCTCATTGATTTTGGACTGTGCAAGAAATACACTCCCAAACGACGATGGAGTACGGGAGGCACGCCTGACTATCTTCCTCCCGAAGTGTTAGAAAAGCAGCCATTCTCCTTTGAAGCAGATTGGTGGCAATTAGGAATCATGGTGTGGTTTATGCTGACTCAAAAAATGCCATTCGATGCTCCCACGACGAGGGAATTATATGAGAATATCAAACAGAAACTTTTGCAGAAGCCGAATTCTATGTCCATTTCGATATCCTTGATTAAATGATTGATTGTTTTTCTTGACTGCAGGCGTTTAACTTTTGTTTCCGATTGCTCGATCGGGATCCAGCGAAGCGACTGGGGAGAAACGGAGTAGACGAGATCAAGCAGCATTCGTTTTTGAAGAATATCGACTGGGAGAAGGTTCAAACGATGCAGCTTCCTCCTCCCGTCGTGTTGTCTCGTTCTGCTGCGAATTCAGAGAATGCGACGGAGGAGACACTGTCGCAAACTCCAGACAATTACAAGTCACGTCGACCTTTTGACAATTTCTCATTTGTCCATCCATCTTTTATTTAACTTGTTTTCATTCCACAAACACCCGATTGATGAGAATAACAAATGGAATTAGTTCATTCTTCCGACACAGTTTTTGGCTCCGCACAGACAGACCAGTTCCCTGTCCTCGTATTGGAATTTGTAGTCGTAAGTGATTTCTTCTCCGGGGTTGATGTCTCGGTTTGCGAAGAAGATGATTTTGTTTTCGTTGTTGATGTTGACGACGCGCGCGTCGCAGTTGGGATCGCAGCAGTGATTGATGAACCTGCTTTCGTTTCCCTTCACCGTCGCGTCCACGATGTGTTCCGCGTCCATTCGGAAGAAATAGCACCCGCCCACGTTCCTTCGGTTGTATCTACGCCTCACCGCCGCGCCCTGCGCCCACACCGCCTCCCGCGCGTTCGCCACGTCCTGTCCCACGACTTCGCCTGCGAATTCGATCACCATCATTCCGCGCCGGAACGCCGTTTTCGCGAAGAGTCCCCACCCGTGGATCGGGCTTTTGATCACTTTCGGCTGCTCGCTCTCCGCGCGGCACTACGTTCCACGCCCTCCCCGCTCCTACCTGCAGCGCCCGGTATTGCCGCAGCAGCTCCGTCGTGCCCAGCGTGTCGCCGGCTTCCCACGCGGGGCGGGACCGCGCGTCGCTCAGCGTCTGCCGCAGCGTCGAGAGCGTCCACGCCAGCGGCGTCACCGTCGTCTGCACCGGCACGCAGCGGCTGCACATGGCCTTCTCGGGGCTTGGAGGGGCGGGAGCAACCGCGGGGATGGTTCCGATGGTTCCGATGGTTCCGTTGACCCCATTGACCCCATTGACCCCATTGGCCCCATTGGCCCCATTGACCTCTCTGCGACGCGTCGGAACTCGCTGGATCTGGCTCTCCTCGAACTGTGTCTCACTCCCTCCCCGCGGTTCTACGCGCTCTTCCCGCACGCGGATCACCTGCTCCACGCGCGGCTGCACCTGGTGGTACCGGTACGACGGGTAGCCCGCGGGCGGGAACGCGTGGTACAGGCTCGCTTCCTGGGCCTCCAGCGCCTCCACCACCTGCGGGATGTTCAGGCCGAAGAACCAAAACCCGTCCAGTTCCGAGTCGCGCCACGCGTCCGCTTCCCTGCACACCGGTTTCACCGGTTTCTCCGATTTCTCCGATTTCTCCGATTTCTCCGATTCCACGTCCATCACACCGCACTCCCCTTCCGACCCATTTCTGTTTCTCTGTTCCGCGCGCTCGCGCAGTCGCAGCGTTTCGTAGTGGCCGTTTCGCTTCAGCGCGGCGCGCAGCTCCGCGTACACGCCTATTTCTCACCATTCCCGCGATTCTACCTTGAATGTCGTGCGAGCAGAAGCGAATCTCGGACTGCATGTCGCTGATGCTGAACACGGGGCGGCGCAGCGGGTCCTCGCCCTCCGCCTCGGCGTGGATCTCCAGGCAGTACAGCGTTCGCGTCCCCGGCCGCTTCGCGCTCCAGAACACGCGGAACACGCGGTACTGGTCGGGGAGCAGGAACCGCTCCGTGTGCATGCGCGGGGAAATCCCCACCGCGCCCACGTGCGACACCGTCACGCTCCCCATCCGGATCAGTCCGCGCTCCACGCTGCGGCTGCGACTCTGCCGCGCGCCCGACCGGAACACCACGCGGTGGTTGAACCGCGTCGTGAACAGCTCCGACGCGCTCACCGCCACCTGCGCCTCCGACGCGCCCACGCCCCGCGGAACACCACCGCCCGCCGGACTCGAAACGCCCCGCGGGGAAAACGGGTTGAACGACCGATCGACCAACCCACCCGCGGGGAAACTCGACGGACGGTGGTACTGGCAGAACGCCTCCTTGTTCACGCGGATCAAACAACCGCCCTCGCGCCCACACGCGAAGTGGAAGCACCGGCTGCACCCCGACGCTCCGCACTTGATCGACGCACCCGAACGCTTGCACACGTAGCACTGCGCAGAACGGCTCCGGTTCTTCACCACAGTGTATTTCTGGATCGAGCTCTCTTTCTCGTCGATCGTGATCCCAGAGCTGTAATACACGCAGTTCAGATGCACCCACTCCCCCGTCAACGTGCACAGCATCCGACCGCACACCAAGTTGTCACCAACTTCACCGCACAAATCGCACGCACGACGGTCATCCACCGCGTGACCCTCCACGCCCACCAACGGAGTTACTTCCATTTGTTCCGTCGAATTCTCTTCCTTCTCCATTCCATTCCATCCATCGCTCCATTCCCGCGAAGAATCGGCAGCGATGGGTTTGGATGAGGGAGTTTCGAGGGGAGTGAGGGGATTCGATTCATTATTAATGGTATTGGTATTGGTATTGGTATTGTTGGATTCGGTTTGAGTTTCAGGTTCAGGTTCAGGTTCAGGTTCAGGTTTAGTTTCAATCGGTTTCGATTCCACTTTCTCAGCCTCCATTTCCACCTTCTCAACCTCCATTTCCACTTTCTCAGCCTCCATTTCCACTTTCTTAACCTCCATTTCCACTTTCTTAACCTCCATTTCCTCTTTCGGACGCGAGAACGGGAATGTTCGCAGCACGATGTTCCCAGAAATCAGCAGCCATTCGATCGGGCTGAACGGACACTCCGGGTTGAAATACGTCGGGAACAATGGCTGGCACGTGTACAAATACGCCGCTGCGTTGCAGGCATCCTCCGTCATCATCAGCAGAGACGAGTACAGTCGACGGATCTTCCACAGCGTCTTCTCCGACAGTTCCTCCACCGGAATTCGAATCGGACTCGGACTTCCGTCCTCTTCCAACAAACGCTCTTCGCTCATCAAATCGCGGAACGACGAGGGCAGCGACGAATTCAATTGCTTCGGGTAGAACACGTTCGGTAGATCCGACACCACCAATTGATGAATCGTCTTCCCCGGATATAAACGCGATTCCAAACGCGAGGATATGAACTTCGAGCTGCGAACGGACAAATCTTCGGCGATTTTGTTATCGCGAAGTCGCTCACGACGACTCGATCCGTTCTCGTTCAACAACTTCAAATACATTTTATCCGATAGAGTTTGGAACAGCAGACTGTTCGCCTATCAATCAATTCATTCATCATTCTCATACTCGAACAATCGTACGAACCAGATCGCACCAATATGGCTCAAGTTGAGTCTCAATCTTACCTCGATTCGATTCATTCAATGGCAATAATTCTTTCAGTCGCAATTCTTGACGTTTCTCTTGAATACCACTTATCAAATCACTTATCGTTGTTTCATTTTCTTTTTCTTTTTCTTTTTCTCCTCCTTCTCCTCCTTTTTCTTCCTCTCCTCCTTTTTCTTTTTCTTCATTTCCAATCACTTTCATAGTTTCATTCCTACTTTCATTTTCATTTTCATTTTCATTTTCATTTTCATTTTCATTCTTGCTTTCATTTTCATGTGGATTCGCATGTGAATTCAGATTCAAATTCAAAGATAAACTAACTGGATTCATCAAATTCGATTTCGTTCGATTTGATTGACGACATCGTATACAATGATAAGGATTCCGAGTTATCTCACTTTTCAACCATTCCATCATATCATTCATTATACAACGATGATGAATCCATTGCTCACATCCATCACAAAACGCCATATCAACATCCGAAGCATTCCAAGGAGTATCACATACAGCACATCGTTTAAATCGTTCTTCTTTGTTGTAGCAATTCCGACAATAGTCACGATGATAACTCCAACTCGTTGCCGTTCCTTTCAATCCACACTTTTTACACTTGAAACAATAACCACACACAAACAAATTCAAGTTGTTATCGTCCACATAATTCAAACAACTCTTGTGGAAACTACGATCACATCGATTGCAACTGCAAATCTTATCCATTTCCTTCACTACATTTACACTCAAACCACAAACCTCGCAGATCTTACAATTCGGACAGCGCCATCCGCATTTCATTTCATGATTCGCTGTCCCGTTCGCATTCACACAATACACATGATAACATTCACCACAATCGCCACAAAATAACATTCGATCTCGATCGCCCGTTGAACCACAACTCAGACAACAATCCATTGCGATCATTGACGCATATTGAGGAAGAATGTATTCCACCACGGGAGGAATCAGCGAATTCGAATACGGTCCAGCTAATGGAGTTAATGGCTCCAGTTGTTTCTCACTGGATCGATAATTATCATAGATTTCTACGATCTTCGATGCTTTGCGACACGCTTGTTTCGCACTGTTACTCGGTTCTGGACGAGTCAGTAGCTTCTCTTTCGATGCCTTTATTTGACTGATCTTCACACAATAGTCACCAGCAACACTTCCACTCAAATATTCATTCAGTACTTTCTCACCCTTTTCAAATAGATCCGATGTACACTTCCACACTTCATCTCCAAACATATTGTAAACAAATGCGTTGTAGCACATTCGTTCAAAATCATCCCGGAATTCTTGACTCTTCGAATATTGTTTACGTCGAATTCGATCTTCCATCAACTCCAAACAAACCATATCTTCGCGAGATATCATATCGAAATAGTGAGGCGCGATTTCTTCTGTTATTTGATTCAAAAAGATTCCTCGACTGTCAAGTTCTTTCAATTTCAATAACACTTCCATCATTTCTTTTCGACGACATTTCGGACATCGATACACTTTTGTTGTTTCTTCTTTCACAACATCCATTCCTGGGTTCGAATTCGTACTAACATTCGTATCTTCTTCAATACTCTCTTCTTCACTTCCTCGACTTTCCATTCCATCTTCAAACACACTGTCTTCACGACGACGTTGACGACGATCATTCTCTCGTTTCCGATTCTTGTTGCTGTTGCTGTTGCTATTTCCATTGCTATTGCCATTGCCACTGTTGTGTTTATTGTCACATTCACGATGAACCCATTCACCACATTCTTCACATTTCACACATTTCTCTTTCAATTCTTCAACATCCATTGTCTTCAGACATACATTGCAATACAATCCTTCACGATAGTTTTCTTGACATTCTTCACAACACGTCACTTTCTCGTTGTTCACTAACACATGTTCCCATTTCCCGTAGAAACAAACCTCCGTTCCACATCCACGACACTTTTGACATTTGAAACAAACGAATTCATTCTCTTCACACTCGTTCAATGGTTCCATCAAAATCGGATCACAGCATTGTAAATGACAGTACAGACCGCATTTCACACATCGATGGAGACGATTATTACCCAGATTCCCGCGGAGACAGCACCAACAGTATTCATCGTTCACCGGCTGGAGTTCCAACAGATTCCTATGTCTTTATCACACTCAACATCACTCATACTCGTTGTTTATACCCTCCACCACGATATATTGACCGTTCAGATAAAACCAACTGCTCGGAACCTCTTCGTTTTCGAACCACACAAAGTGTTTCCCCGTTATTGACCGATAGTGCAGAACAACACCACGAGCCCAACCGCCCAACGGAAAATCCACTGCGCGACTCCACATGTAGATCCATTTGTACATCCATTCTTTCGCGTTCAATTCACTTCGGTTGTTCAATACCTTCCACGGAGCTTCCAACAATCGGTTCAATCGATCTTTCACGTGCATTTCCCAACGAATTGTCTCCAACATCGGAGTATAGAAAAGTTCGAATTTGTGTTCACGCCAATCATGAGCTTCTTCGAATTCATACTCTACATTACTCACCATTTCATTACTTAGCAAATCCAATGCTTCCATTCTATCATTCTTTCCATTCTTTCCATCATTATCAAATTCATTCACTTTCACGCCAAAATGAAGATTACCCTCATTCTTATTACGAAGCCATACAAATTCCTTTAGAATTCCAATATCATTCTTCTCTAAAGCATACCAACCTTCTTCTTTCCAATACGCTCCATCAAATGTCACATAATATAACAGTAAATCCTTCAATACACGTAATATTCGACCCATTACGTTCACTTCATGGAACCACACACGACTTCCAATTAACGAATCGCCCATTTCCAATAACCAACTTAATCGTTTCTCTTCGATCGTGTTTCGCATATCTTCAAACCGGTTGTTTGGATATCCCATCGGAGCCATGTTACCCATCATCACTTCACTTCCCAATTTCAAATACGAATACCTCTCGTTCAGATGCGACAACACACACGCGCATTCACCACACATCCAGTTGTTGTAGTCCATCTCATTTCCATACAAACAACTCGCGTGGAATTCATCCCCACATCGATTACATATTACCATATCCGAAGTGTGACGACATGTGCAAAGTCCACATCCAATATGAACGCGTAATGAACTCATTTTCGCTAATGGAGGCGGATTCAGATCCGGAAGTGTTACTGTTTTGTTGTTCTTCGTTATGATCGTAGGACAATTGCCGTTCAGATTTTCTTCTTCTTCCATCGAATCGCCTTCTTCTTCCACGTGACCATCCGTTATGTCACGCATTGTTCGACCTGACCATCGTTCTTTCTCACCACCATTCCATCCTTCGTCTTTCGAATTCATGTGACGACGTCTTTTATCTTCCATCGAACTCGATTCTTGTTTCAAATTTCGTTTACGAACACTTTCTTCTTCGAATTCTTCACTCGAATTTCCATCTCCTCCATTCAATGATTGATTTTGATTTTGATTTTGATTTTGACTTTGATTTTGATTTTGATTCTGACTCTGATTTTGATTCTGATTCTGATTCCGGTTTCCACGTTTCTCTCTTCGACGATTTCGAGATTTTCGAGAATCATCACCCGATTCAGATGATAAAATCGTTGGATCTTCTGTAGAACGAGACAAATGAGATAAACGAGAAGAACGACGTTGACTTCCACCTAATTCCTGTTCAATCGAATCACTCGAATCTCCATTATCAACATCCGAATCTCCTTGCATCGGTGAAGTCCAACCATTACCTCGAGATCGACCACGACCGCGACCATGACCTTTACCGCGACCCCGTGATCGATTCGTATTACTTTCAATACGAAATAGTTGGACCAGTTCTTCACGATCACTCGGAACTGATTCTTCTTTTATTTTCGGTTTCGATTTCTTCTTCCATTCTTTATCAATATTTCTAATCATCATTTCCAGTTACAGTTCTACTACACAGCTTCTTTCACATTCTTCAATTCACTGTCATTCCATTTAGTATTTGAATCTTCCAATTTATCACTCATTTCATTCATATCTATATTCAACAACAACTTATGCAAATACTTTCAAAATCACTTTATGATTATTCAAATATTCAGCAATTTTAATAGATTGCAATATAGAATATACAAAATTAAGAAGTAAGTCGAGAGTTGTTCAACTTCGGGAATCTCTCGATTCTATCGATAATCTAATTTCAATAGTATTCAAATATAGAGTACTTGTGAATGAAATGAAATGAAAAGAATGAATCTGAACGATCGATTATTGGAATGTCGAAAATCGAATGTATTTTGTATAATGGATTGAATCAAATCGATTAATTTGGAATTGAATAAAGAATGTTGAATCGTCTGTATGGAAATGAATAATGGATAATGAATAGAGCGTATTTGGGAAGACGAGGTTTGTTGTTTGGTTCGTTTGGATTAAATTCGATTCCAATTCGTTTATTGAGTGATGGATATATGAATTCGTATATGCATGAAATGCGAAAGGGTGTATATGAAGAGTTTGAGAAGGGTGTATTATATGGTAATAATTTGTTGTTAAATGGTATATTTAATGATGGGAATTGTAAATATAATAATAATGTAAAAAATGGTGTTGTTTTTGGAGAAAGAGTTGTTTTAGAGAACAATTTGTTGTTATCACATTATATTCCGAAATATGAATGTGAATCAAGTTCGAATTCTGACTCAAGTTCTGGTTCTGGTTCTGGTTCTGGTTCTGGCTCTAGTTCTGGTTCTGGTTCTAGTTCTAGTTCTGGATCTGGATCTGACTCGAGCTCGAACTCCAATTCTGGCTCTGGTTCTAGCTCGAACTCCAATTCTGGCTCTGGCTCTGGCTCTGGCTCTGGTTCTGGCTCTAATTCGAATTCGAACTCGAAACAAAAAGAAAAGGTTTGAATAATAATGAATTGAATAATATTTAGAAAGATCGAAGCGGATATTTGGGAAGTAAGAATCGAATATGAATAATACGATATTGTAGTGATTGGTTCAACAGCAATGTTGGGAGCATTGATCGGTTATTTTGTGAAGATTTACAAAGAAGGTAAACGTCATGACCGTGTTCGAGATGATTACGTTACTCATTGTCCCTTAACACCTGACGAAAGTATGGAATTGGCCGAATCGAACAACATCGGGTAAAATAGGTAAATGTAGTAATAAGTGTTAGAGCTGTGTTTTTCGACGCATTGTGGAAGTATTTATCGCACAACTATCCGAGTGAGATGAGCGTGAACGAGTTCCGTGCCGTGATGAATGAAGTGCTTCGTGAAGGTGGAATAACGCACGTGAACTACGATGTGAGGAATTGTATGTTTGTGATGATTGATTGTAGTACATTCTGGACCGTCTGTTCGAGAAGATCGCTTGGGATGCTTGTGCTGTGGAGGAGCTGTCGGAGAGTGTGGACGGGAACACTCCGCTGTTGGATCGGTCGATGCAGGGCTCGAAAGATGCGCAAGCGGTGGCGAACACGAAGATTCCTGTCCGTTTATTGATGCTGGTGGTGATGCATTTGATTCTGGACGATCACGACGAATGTCTGAAATCGATTTTCCGAATGTTTAAAAGGTAGGGATGAATGAATGAATGAATGAATGAATGAATGGCGTAACACAATAGACCGAATTCGAAACGAATGAGTCGCGAAGACTTCGAATTGCTGGTGTCGTATTTGCTGCAGACCTATCATTTGTACCCGGACTATTTGATAAAGAAGGACAAACATTTCCCGCTGAACGAATATCGAATGTCGAGTGCGGAGGAGCTGGTGTCGAGGTGTGGAATGAATGTGTGTTTGAAGTGAATAGATCGATGAAACAACACGCGAAGAAACTGAAATTGAAAAAGAACGAGAAATTGGAATCGCTGAACTATCGCGAATTCAGTGCTTTGATCACCGCGATGCCGCTGTGTATTTGGGGCGAATGTTTCCCTGTGCCGGTGGAGAATAATAATAATAATGAGAAGAAGGGAAAGAAGTAATGGTTTGGTTGAGTGAATGGATGAATGAATGAATGAGTGAGTGAATTGATTTTAGTTCAAATTGTTTGTTGTTTTCAAATGAATGAATTGGTTGTTTGGTTCAAAAAACAATTTCATGGTTTAGTCTAACTGAATTGTGTTGTTATACGTAGTATCTCGTTTCTTAAACAATTCTTGCAAATCAATTCCACTTCTTGGCTTCTGCGTGGCTGTCAGCGTGTTGTCCAGGGTCGTATTCTACATTACATCTCTTCCAATCGCTCACCGTATAGGTCCGATGAATATCTCTAGACAAAACGGTATGCGTGTAATGGTGTCTCAACTATTCACTGAGCTCCCTTCTATTTCCAAACTGTATCACTTGGAGTAATCTTCATCGTACGGAAATGAGTCGTTTTCGAATAAGAGTCGCTAGTCTTCAGTTTTGCGTTCTATTCATCACTCCTTTCTTTCTTTCTCTCTCACCTTTCTCTCTTTATCCAGCGTTTCTCTCAAGTTTCCGATGTCTTCCGACCAAATTTCGGACTTATGCGACACCTTCACGAGTTCTTTTATCTTGAACATCAACATTCCCACCACCACAATCGTCCTATTCATCGACCTCCCCTCCTTCTCCCCTACACAATATTCACCAAACACAAGCAAAAGCTGATCAGCCCAAGATACGCCAAATCGCTCCATTTCACTCCCTCGGGGAAGTTGTTTCCAATCCATCCAAAGAACGAATAAGCCCACAGAACTCCAGCGTTCACACACGGCGGAAGCAACGACGCAGAGATCGCAACGCCCACCAGCGAGGACGTATTTCGCCCCGAAATCGCGAGAGCCACGCCGACTCCCGAAGGCAACGCGATTAAAAACCCGATAATCAGATTGTACGCATCTCCACGATTCACCATCTCCGCCGTCGGCCAGCCAGGCCAGATATTCCCGCGGGTTTGCAACGCGAGCGGTGATCCCAACGCACCGATGATGAACCCACAGACAAACTAAAGTCGAAACTGGAGAAACGGGGAAATACACAGATGCCGATGCCGATGAGCTCCGATTTGAGCGACTTTCGAAGGAGCTGCCAATCGTGAACGATGGTCGCTTTGATTGATTCAATTTTAGCGAGCAAAACCGAAGGCAATGCCGAGGATTGGACCCATTAGAGGGGACACCAGCATCGATGCGACGACGGCCACGGAGCTATTCGATATCAAGCCCATCGCGGCGATCATTCCGGCGGCAGCCAGCAAAAGAAGATAGTCGAAGTTGCAGGTGGCGCCGTCGTTGATGAGATTGATCTACGGCAATGAGCACATCAGTAAACGAAGCCAAACCATTTCCTGAACCAGAATCAATCGGTTGGCCACGCTGGACGAGAGCTGCTGCTCGGCGTGGTTCTGCGCGCCGCTCTTGTACAGATCGCAGGACGTTACATAGACGCTCCCGAACCACGTGTCCAATCCGATGTTCTCCAACTGCTCCAAAATCTGCTCGCTGACTTCCGCGGGGCAGGAGAAAGAGAAGGTGACGTCGCCCGAGTCGGAGGTGTAGCGACTGGAGATTTCCACGTGGTTGTGAGCCAGGATGTTGCGAACCATCTGATCCACGTTGAGCTGTGATGAACAGGAGCGATTGTGGGTACTTTGAGAGGCAGGACCGCTTGGCCTGTAGCTTGCGAAAGAGAGGAAAGCGGGGATTCTTTGAAGACCAGCAATTCAAGGGAAAAACCACCCGTTGAGCTCTACGCTGGACAAAGAATCACATAAGTACGGCACTGCTTTCCGGATTGTTTATACTGGTTAACTCGATCTGCGAAGAGAGAGATCTATGTTGGATGACCTATTGCTCACGGTACTGCGTAATCTGGATGGGATCAACCGTGATCTCCATATTGGCTGATGAAGATCGTTCTTCCTCCTCAACAATAGGCAACTCGTCTAATTGAGCTTCAGGATGTGGAGAAGCTGATGTCGAAGGAAGCTTGTCAACTACTTTAAGTTCTGTACTTTCCTCCTAACGTTAAATTGACATTTGAAATCAACAATCAGGTTGTCAATTTCCCTAATGTCGTAAAGTACAATGGGAAACTTTCGAGAAAACTGCTTTGTCTCAATGCGATCAATTGCAGTTGGGTAAATGTAGTAACTACTCTTAAGAACAAAAACCGTTTCTACAAAATATCTCCTGCAGAATCCTGAGTATATCTGCAGACAAAAGACGTGTCAATATCCGGATGAAGTACTAACTACGAGTTGAGCTGAACACCTGTAATCACTCTCTGGCTTAACATTCGAAATGTATTTCCAATATCATGGGAATACTCCTTCGGATATGTAACGGTAAAATTATGCGCCATCACTCAGTTTCGAAAAGAGAAATAAGTGTAAAAGAAAACAGTCAAACTATTCAATTACTACAGAATAAGACTCGATATTTTTAGGATCATAGTCATCAATTTCATCCAACACCTCCGAATCAAAGCATTTTAGAGATTCCATCACTGCCTGTCGAATTGGCATCTTTTGAATGCACAGTTTATCTTGCAGCACGCCTCGAAATACGGCTCCTCCTCTTGGAGCTCCGCTAAACAGAGTGCAAAGCGGTCGAAACACGACATCATTCTTTGGTTTCCACTTTTCTACACTTATTCTATTCAAAAAACGATACGGTGAGTTTCCTGTAGTTTTTCTACATAATCGCAGTACCGCTCTACGATTTGTCTACGAGAAAGCCCCGGTCCTTTACATCCGTAGAAGATTTCATCAACATGTCGAAACATCCACGGGCATTGCATCGCCATTCTTCCTATCATCACTCCACGCAGCTTTCGGCCTCGTTTCGGTCTATGTCAAAAACATTTTCATTTCTCACGATAATTCGTCCAGATAGCGCTGCGCCTCTGCAAACGATTTGATTCCTCCGTTTAGCGTGAAATCCAATGTCGGGAAATCGTCGAGGAGGCGAAACACCCAATCAGGACGCAGATCGGGGATTCGACGGTTTTCTCGCGTGTTTACACCGTTCAACCAACATTTCCGAGCATGAACAATGAAGTGGGACACGAGGGGGGCTGCGGAAGCTGCAGAAGCATCAGTTGGCTCAGTCGCTTCTTCAGCAGATGAATCGGAAGAGGGAGAAACCCCGCTAACAACGGAAATAAAGTGAACCAGGGATTCGTAGGAATCACAGTCTACTCAGAAAAGAAGAATTGAATGGCTACTGTCGACGCCGATGCGACATTTGACCGTAATGGGAATCGTTACTTCTGCTTTCATCGATTCAATGATTCGACGTACCAAAGGAGGATCCAACATTAGCTTGGCACCAAAGTTGTGAGACTACATAAAACAAAGATGATAAAAGGAAACAGAAACAGTTTTACTGGGACATCCGCAGTTTAAATTAATTTCATTGTATCCACGATCCTGTAATATTTTAGCTGCATATGCAAGCATTTTTGGATCAGATCCTCCAAGTTGGCCAACAATTTTATGTTCGCTTTCATCAAAGCTAAAGTAAAAATATGATATAATATATACTCGATAATATCTTGTGTATATCGAGAATAATACAGAGTCTCCGCTACAAACATCTCGCTATACAAAACGCATTTATGACTTAATTGCCTCATAGTATACCTCCAAAAACTAAATATTACAACAATCAAACAAAAAGAACGTATTTGTTACATCTAACATGGGGGCAATACTGATACGATCTTCTTCCATTAGTCGTTATAAAAAACTAAAATATAGACTAATGTAAAACCACAATGAACAATTATACGACCAAACAACCAATTCATTCATTTGGAAACAACAAACAATTTGAACTAAAATCAATTCACTCACTCACTCGTTCAACCAAACCATTACTTCTTTCCCTTCTTCTCATTATTATTATTATTATTCTCCACCGGCACAGGGAAACATTCGCCCCAAATACACAGCGGCATCGCGGTGATCAAAGCACTGAATTCGCGATAGTTCAGCGATTCCAATTTCTCGTTCTTTTTCAATTTCAGTTTCTTCGCGTGTTGTTTCATCGATCTATTCACTTCAAACACACATTCATTCCACACCTCGACACCAGCTCCTCCGCACTCGACATTCGATATTCGTTCAGCGGGAAATGTTTGTCCTTCTTTATCAAATAGTCCGGGTACAAATGATAGGTCTGCAGCAAATACGACACCAGCAATTCGAAGTCTTCGCGACTCATTCGTTTCGAATTCGGTCTATTGTGTTACGCCATTCATTCATTCATTCATTCATTCATTCATCCCTACCTTTTAAACATTCGGAAAATCGATTTCAGACATTCGTCGTGATCGTCCAGAATCAAATGCATCACCACCAGCATCAATAAACGGACAGGAATCTTCGTGTTCGCCACCGCTTGCGCATCTTTCGAGCCCTGCATCGACCGATCCAACAGCGGAGTGTTCCCGTCCACACTCTCCGACAGCTCCTCCACAGCACAAGCATCCCAAGCGATCTTCTCGAACAGACGGTCCAGAATGTACTACAATCAATCATCACAAACATACAATTCCTCACATCGTAGTTCACGTGCGTTATTCCACCTTCACGAAGCACTTCATTCATCACGGCACGGAACTCGTTCACGCTCATCTCACTCGGATAGTTGTGCGATAAATACTTCCACAATGCGTCGAAAAACACAGCTCTAACACTTATTACTACATTTACCTATTTTACCCGATGTTGTTCGATTCGGCCAATTCCATACTTTCGTCAGGTGTTAAGGGACAATGAGTAACGTAATCATCTCGAACACGGTCATGACGTTTACCTTCTTTGTAAATCTTCACAAAATAACCGATCAATGCTCCCAACATTGCTGTTGAACCAATCACTACAATATCGTATTATTCATATTCGATTCTTACTTCCCAAATATCCGCTTCGATCTTTCTAAATATTATTCAATTCATTATTATTCAAACCTTTTCTTTTTGTTTCGAGTTCGAATTCGAATTAGAGCCAGAACCAGAGCCAGAGCCAGAGCCAGAGCCAGAATTGGAGTTCGAGCTAGAACCAGAGCCAGAATTGGAGTTCGAGCTCGAGTCAGATCCAGATCCAGAACTAGAACTAGAACCAGAACCAGAACTAGAGCCAGAACCAGAACCAGAACCAGAACCAGAACTTGAGTCAGAATTCGAACTTGATTCACATTCATATTTCGGAATATAATGTGATAACAACAAATTGTTCTCTAAAACAACTCTTTCTCCAAAAACAACACCATTTTTTACATTATTATTATATTTACAATTCCCATCATTAAATATACCATTTAACAACAAATTATTACCATATAATACACCCTTCTCAAACTCTTCATATACACCCTTTCGCATTTCATGCATATACGAATTCATATATCCATCACTCAATAAACGAATTGGAATCGAATTTAATCCAAACGAACCAAACAACAAACCTCGTCTTCCCAAATACGCTCTATTCATTATCCATTATTCATTTCCATACAGACGATTCAACATTCTTTATTCAATTCCAAATTAATCGATTTGATTCAATCCATTATACAAAATACATTCGATTTTCGACATTCCAATAATCGATCGTTCAGATTCATTCTTTTCATTTCATTTCATTCACAAGTACTCTATATTTGAATACTATTGAAATTAGATTATCGATAGAATCGAGAGATTCCCGAAGTTGAACAACTCTCGACTTACTTCTTAATTTTGTATATTCTATATTGCAATCTATTAAAATTGCTGAATATTTGAATAATCATAAAGTGATTTTGAAAGTATTTGCATAAGTTGTTGTTGAATATAGATATGAATGAAATGAGTGATAAATTGGAAGATTCAAATACTAAATGGAATGACAGTGAATTGAAGAATGTGAAAGAAGCTGTGTAGTAGAACTGTAACTGGAAATGATGATTAGAAATATTGATAAAGAATGGAAGAAGAAATCGAAACCGAAAATAAAAGAAGAATCAGTTCCGAGTGATCGTGAAGAACTGGTCCAACTATTTCGTATTGAAAGTAATACGAATCGATCACGGGGTCGCGGTAAAGGTCATGGTCGCGGTCGTGGTCGATCTCGAGGTAATGGTTGGACTTCACCGATGCAAGGAGATTCGGATGTTGATAATGGAGATTCGAGTGATTCGATTGAACAGGAATTAGGTGGAAGTCAACGTCGTTCTTCTCGTTTATCTCATTTGTCTCGTTCTACAGAAGATCCAACGATTTTATCATCTGAATCGGGTGATGATTCTCGAAAATCTCGAAATCGTCGAAGAGAGAAACGTGGAAACCGGAATCAGAATCAGAATCAAAATCAGAGTCAGAATCAAAATCAAAATCAAAGTCAAAATCAAAATCAAAATCAAAATCAATCATTGAATGGAGGAGATGGAAATTCGAGTGAAGAATTCGAAGAAGAAAGTGTTCGTAAACGAAATTTGAAACAAGAATCGAGTTCGATGGAAGATAAAAGACGTCGTCACATGAATTCGAAAGACGAAGGATGGAATGGTGGTGAGAAAGAACGATGGTCAGGTCGAACAATGCGTGACATAACGGATGGTCACGTGGAAGAAGAAGGCGATTCGATGGAAGAAGAAGAAAATCTGAACGGCAATTGTCCTACGATCATAACGAAGAACAACAAAACAGTAACACTTCCGGATCTGAATCCGCCTCCATTAGCGAAAATGAGTTCATTACGCGTTCATATTGGATGTGGACTTTGCACATGTCGTCACACTTCGGATATGGTAATATGTAATCGATGTGGGGATGAATTCCACGCGAGTTGTTTGTATGGAAATGAGATGGACTACAACAACTGGATGTGTGGTGAATGCGCGTGTGTGTTGTCGCATCTGAACGAGAGGTATTCGTATTTGAAATTGGGAAGTGAAGTGATGATGGGTAACATGGCTCCGATGGGATATCCAAACAACCGGTTTGAAGATATGCGAAACACGATCGAAGAGAAACGATTAAGTTGGTTATTGGAAATGGGCGATTCGTTAATTGGAAGTCGTGTGTGGTTCCATGAAGTGAACGTAATGGGTCGAATATTACGTGTATTGAAGGATTTACTGTTATATTATGTGACATTTGATGGAGCGTATTGGAAAGAAGAAGGTTGGTATGCTTTAGAGAAGAATGATATTGGAATTCTAAAGGAATTTGTATGGCTTCGTAATAAGAATGAGGGTAATCTT